GCCACTGCCGGACTAGTCGATCAAGTCAAAAATGTTGTAACCCCAAACTTCTCCCATAGGCACATGTAAACAGTATTGAAGTGAATGCAAGATACATTGTAATTTAATGAAATGTAATGCTGTGTCATTTCTTAATTCAGCTGCATATAAATACTGCACATGTTAGCGGACGTTCACACAAAGACACACACTCTCTGATTAATGGTCCCTTAAAGATGACCACACTCTATGACAGCAGGAAGCAGAGCGGCTGTGAGCTCTGTCACTTACAAAACCACCCGTGTGTGTGTCTGTGTGTCTGTATTTGTGTGTGTGTGTTTGTACAAAGTGCATGACGCCTCGCTCTCTCTCTACAGAACAGGAAGCAGTGAGGTGGGGCTCGGCCTGATCTCTCTTCCTCTCCTCGTTCAATTGCTCTGGGTTTTACAACTGGCTTTTGATTCCTGAGCAGGAAGCACATCCTGGTTTTTTTTTTTTAACAGGAGGCAGGAATATTGCTCGGTGAAGCCTGATTGGTGCTGAGTGAGTGTGTGAGGGAGGGGGGGGATCGGGATTGAAGCCAGAAGGAGGCCCAACATGGCCAGTGAGGACGGGCTGGAGGACTTGGCGGGGGATCAGCCGGTGGATTCCCCGGTCCAAACTGAGCAGAGTGACACCGAGTCAGCGGTAGGCATCTGTCCCCACAGCAGGCCTTAATCTCAGCCGCCTTTTAATGTTCTTTACATCCATTATACTCTGTTCTGTCAGCTTCCTCGTTCACTTCCTGTAAAAACATCTCCTCTCTGGCGGCGAATTCTAATTCCGTCGTGATTTTTTCGCCCTGCGTTGCGAGCTTTATTGCACTTGTTTCCGAGTTGTTTGTTGTAAAAACACAAGGGATAAAGTTGTATTGTGTCATGGCACAAACGCTCACTTCCTGTTGTTCATGGTGCGTTTTACTGCCTCTGCTCTCTTTTCTGCCTTCATTAGCACCTGCTACTGCTCGCACTGAGACGATCTCAGGCCTTCTCCCCCAATGGGCCCTATCATTCTCATGTTCAGGTGTATATTAGTATGTAGTGTCTCTACTTTAAAGAGTCCTCTCCTGACGATGTTCAGGTGTATATCAGTATGTAGTGTCTCTACTTTAAAGAGTCCTCTCCTGCTGATGTTCAGGTGTATATCAGTATGTAGTGTCTCTACTTTAAAGAGTCCTCTCCTGCTGATGTTCAGGTGTATATCAGTATGTAGTGTCTCTACTTTAAAGAGTCCTCTCCTGCTGATGTTCAGGTGTATATCAGTATGTAGTGTCTCTACTTTAAAGAGTCCTCTCCTGCTGATGTTCAGGTGTATATCAGTATGTAGTGTCTCTACTTTAAAGAGTCCTCTCCTGCTGATGTTCAGGTGTATATCAGTATGTAGTGTCTCTACTTTAAAGAGTCCTCTCCAGCTGATGTTCAGGTGTATATCAGTATGTAGTGTCTCTACTTTAAAGAGTCCTCTCCTGCTGATGTTCAGGTGTATATCAGTATGTAGTGTCTCTACTTTAAAGAGTCCTCTCCTGCTGATGTTCAGGTGTATATCAGTATGTAGTGTCTCTACTGTGAAATGTCTCCATGCTTTAATGTTCAAAAAGCTCTTTATTTTTCTCATACTGTCTGTGCTGCAGCACCTCTTTTCACCCTCTGTCTGAAACCAGAGCCCAGTCTGCTTTGATTTGTTAGCTGGCCGGCTCTGTTGTAATTGGTCAACCGCTTAGAGATGTCCCGCCCCTTAGTCACGTACAATGTGTTGGAGCACTAGCCAGTAGAAGTGTGAGTTACATAGTGTCCAATATCAAAATGAAACTACATGCAATATGTATTAAAGGCTAAATATGTGTTAAAATACCTATATATCATATTCTAATAACTAAACTAAACATTTGTTTGGTACAGATCCCCCAGATTTGTATATATTTTCAAATGACAATGAGAATAATGATGCTAAAATGATCCATACATCTTATTTCGTAATTGCAATATCAGTCAAAATAACCACTATATATCTATTATTTCTAATGATGCAGCACAAATATATAAATGTACCAACATATCAGTCAATGCAGTGTATATCGCTTCATATCTTTATTGATGGGATGTTGTGTGACGATGTTCCAGGACTAAACACTTTGACAGAATTGTTGCATTATTTTCAGTCTTCAAGACTTTGTTGCACATCCTTCTACACACCCAATCACTTTGCTTCAGAGTTGTGCAACAGCATAACGTTGCAGTTGAAATCCTTCCACCCTCGCTCTGCACTGTGTGGTTATTGTGCTGCAGATGGATTATGGCTTTACTGTAGCTGGAGACCTGAGGAGTTGTAATCAGATCTGCTAAGCTGTGTGGCTCCACAGTGAAAGGCCCCGAGCCACTGAACTGTAGCGTGTGTGCTGATGTCGCCTAATGTCAGAACATTGAATTAAAGTATGACATCTCTAGGCCTTTGGGGGTTAGAGATGTCCTGCATGATGGACATAATAACATTTAATGCTATAGAGCGGAGCAGGGAGGATGTATTTTTGTCGCAGACCATGAAGTTAGCATCTCAATGGTTTCCACGACGAAAAAAGACAATGGGATTTTTCCATTGGATTTTTTGATTATTGTAGGAAATAATCTCTGTGACAAACACACGTTAACGATACTTACACGTCTTGTTCAGCAGGATAATCTCCACATACTGTATCAACACCACTTCATGATTTCTGAAGTAAAAAGCTAATGTTGGGCTATAAGGGAACTACAGCACGGTCACATGCTCTTCACGTCACCACCGCTAAGCTAAAGGTGGCTAATGTTGGGCTATAAGGGAACTACTGCACGGTCACATGACTTCACGTCACCACCGCTAAGCTAAAGATGGCTAATGTTGGGCTATAAGGGAACTACAGCACGGTCACATGACTTCACGTCACCACCGCTAAGCTAAAGGTGGCTAATGTTGGGCTATAAAGGAACTACAGCACGGTCACATGACTTCACGTCACCACCGCTAAGCTAAAGGTGGCTAATGTTGGGCTATAAAGGAACTACAGCACGGTCACATGACTTCACGTCACCACCGCTAAGCTAAAGGTGGCTAATGTTGGGCTATAAAGGAACTACAGCACGGTCGCATGACTTCACGTCACCACCGCTAAGCTAAAGGTGGCTAATGTTGGGCTATAAAGGAACTACAGCACGGTCACATGACTTCACGTCACCACCGCTAAGCTAAAGGTGGCTAATGTTGGGCTATAAAGGAACTACAGCACGGTCACATGACTTCACGTCACCACCGCTAAGCTAAAGGTGGCTAATGGTCGGCGTTATGATCTCAGTCAAAAGCTGAATTGTTTTAAGTTGAAGTAAGAAATCTGTTCCTTGTGAAAGATCTGGCTTTCTTTGGGTGAAAAACTACAAACACTGCATTCATAAGTAAGGCTTTACTCATCTACGTTACATTTGTATACATATGCCCTCACGTGTGTTTGTTTACTTGAGACCCATCCAGACACAGATAGATGTTCTGATCTTCAGTAACGCGGTTAGTGTTGATCAGGAGGAGATGTGATGTCAGCTGTTTACACACTTTGACTCACATGCTGAGGATTCTCTGGGATTTGCTGCTTTCTACTCGAGTGCTATGCAGGGTTACTATTAGCAGCCTTTTAATCAACTCAAACTGTATAACCCCTGATTGCAGTTGGCTAAGCATAGTTTCACTTTCTTTTGCATATTACTCTATGCACCAGCCTTTCCAACGAGAACAAAGATATATATAAGCCAGGGGTGTCAAACTCAAGGCCCGGGGGCCAAATCCGGCCCGCGACTTCATTTTTTGTGGCCCCACAACAGCTTGCAAAGAATATAATATGTTTATTATACGGTTACATGCTACTTTACAGAAGCACGTTGCCCATAAACTACATGTCCCACAATGCATCTCAAATTTGCCTTTTTTTCTCAGAATTTGACTTGTTTTCTTCAAAATATGCTTTTTTTCTCAGAATTAGATATTTTTTTCAAAATGTTACTTTTTTTTCTTAGTTTTTCCAGAATTTGGCTTTTCTTTTTAAATCATTTTGTGACATTCTCACTGAAGAGACTTGCAATTATTTGCCCTAGACTTCTGCTTTCAGACGTAGTTAATTATGAAGTTATTACCCTATCCCATAATAATCCAATGCAGAGGCAATCATGTAATATAATACATTATTTTATATATATTAAATATTTATACATGTATTTTTATATAGTCTTAAAGTTACAACCGGCCCTTTGAGTGCAACCATAATGCTGATGTGGCCCGTGATGAAATTGAGTTTGACACCCCTGATATACAGTAAGCGAATAAATATTATGCAATAACAAAACAATGATGTAATTAATTAATTAAAATAAATAAATATTATGCAAGCCAAAGTCAAACCTCGGCTTAAGGCCTTCATATTCTTCAATAAAGCAAAATGTAAAAACGTTTTACAAACAAAATCAAATGTAAGTGTTTCTGACTTTTTCAAATACTTTTATATAGGGTATGTCATCATTGTTACAACCATAAAAGTGATACAGAAGATTACTTTAGCACTTTCAGTGTAGATATTTCTTCAAATGTGAAGTTTTAACAATTAAAAGTGAAGAGAAATCTAATGTTTACACAGTCTGCTGAATCTGGAGACACATATCCCACCAGCTATTTGACTGATCACCTCAAAGCTTTAAGACACAGTAAAACAAAAGTGTGGCTACCTCTTTGTAATTTGCCGCCTTCTCCTAACGATCTCCATAACATTCATCTGTCTGCAACTTACAAGTTATTTATCTAATATATCATATTCCAAGTACTTGTATATAGACTCTCCTTGCACTATTTTATCAGTGTTATTGTGTTGCACTGTTGGAGGAGCCTGTGACCTCAGATTTTCATTGTCATATCTACACTGTAGCTCATGTGTAAACATGACAATAAAAGCCTTGAATCATCCTGCTCTTCAGGGCGATCCCGGCGGGCTCTCTGTGCTCCAGCAGCTCGGTCTGGACCAGAACTCGGACTTCTCGGACTCCAGCGTGCAGCAGTGTCTGGACGAGCATCGGGAGCGGATCCGCAGGGAGATCCGTAAGGAGCTGAAGATCAAAGAGGGGGCGGAGAACCTTCGCAGAGCCACGACGGAGCGGAGGAACGCCCAGCAGGTGGACTCGCAGATCCGCAGCTCCAAACGCAAGCTGGAGGCGCTGCACGACCAGCTGCAGGAGCTGGACGCACACATCGTGGTGAAGGGCCCCGACGAGAACGAGGGTATGTTATCCATAACTGATACATTTTATAAGCTTCTGTGATAGATAGATAGATAGATAGATAGATAGATACTTTATTGATTGGCCGAGGTACAGAAGACAACAATGATGACGTTGCTCCACCAACATATGACCTCTGACCTCTCCCTCCTCTCCCCCAGATGCCCATAGATCTCCGGGTTCGCTCAACCGGACGTCGGCCATCCAGCGGAGGATCGCGGCTCTGGAGCGTCAGCTGAACATCGAGCTGAAGGTCAAACAGGGGGCGGAGAACATGATCCCGATATACGCCAACGGAGGAACCAAGGTATCAGCTCTGACCTAACCATAACCCTGGCCCAGGTATCGCTGTTATGCTCTGATGCTTGAATGGTTCTTATTTCAATCAAAAAGCAGATTTTCTAAATTTAAGAGGTTGTATTTGGACGATATATTGCAAACATGATTTTCTATTCAAACGCTTTTCAGGTTTGTTTAAAAATAATTCACTTAACAGCCTGCTCACTATAGTGCTACATGTTCCCTGTTACAGTCCGTTGTTACTGTCTTAAACCTCATTTTATCAATTGTAAGGTGTCCTTGGGTGCTTTGAAAGGCACCTCTAAATAAAATGAATTATTATTATTATTATAACTATTATTATTAATGATCAAGTGTCCTTGCTTTACCGAACACCACCTACACCAGAGAAAGCGTTAATTTGCATGTTTAGGAACCGATAAGAATTAGAATTGGAGGATGAAACCTTCTTTAATGGTCACACATACATGCACACAGCACACACACTGGGTGCGTCTCACTTCGGTTATTTTTCATTTCCCCGCTCCTCGGGCTCGGTATCACCGGAAGTTGATTTGTCCGCGCCATCTTGAGTACCGTCCCAGTGGCCTTATTTTTGCCGGAAGATCGAGGAGCGATAATCGAGGAACTACCAGACCATCCTCCGGTGAAATCCTCAGACACTCGCCCCGCCCCCTTACTGTGTATCGCTCACTGATTGGACGATGCAGCGCATGCACTGATCTGGCTGCTGTCAGACGATCAGCTGTACGTCGCTTCACGTGACGCTCCGGAGGAAACGACGTCCCGTTGCTCTTAAAACTCATTTCCCTGCTTCTCGTGGTTTCCTTGCGTCTCTCCATGCTTCCTTGGTGGGAGGGATTAGTCGCAGGGAAACCACGCAAGTGAGGGACGCAAGGAATCCATTTAACCGAAGTGAGATACACCTAGTGACATTTGACCTCTGCTTTTAACCCATCCTAGTACTAGGAGCAGTGGACATAGCAAAAGCCATCATTTTTCGGGTCTTTTTTGGGACTTCAAATCGAATGTCAGCTCTCAACCCAACTCAGTATGTTCACCTCTCTATCCACTGAATACAGATTTCAGCTTACTGTAGAAGTTAGTAGGGCACATGTTCACTACTGGATGTATAGTAATACATCCCTAATAGGTGTGAGAGCTCCTGTCTGCCACCAGGAGTTACATGTGGTGAGGAGAAATCAAAGCAATAATAGATTTGAACAGCTTATAGTATATCTGTGTAGGTATATAGAGCCGATGTTGAATATTGCCTTTTCATAAGAGGTTTTGTGAATGGGGGAAATAGAGTGATTTATTGTGACACATCTCCTCCTCCTGTGTTTCTCGCCGTCCCTGCAGGACAAGAAGCTGCTGCAGATGGCTCAGCAGATGCTTCAGGACAGCAAGACGAAGATCGACATCATCCGAATGCAGATCCGAAAAGCCATGCAGGCCACGGAGCAGTCGGAGGAGAACCAATGTATCTATCATCTGTCATTCATCATTTAGTTTTGACCCTCTTCCTCCAAATCCTGCTTTCATCCCTCCTTCCCAAAGCTGATAAACACACTGCATATTTTATGATGCAGTGTGGTAATGGATCGATTCCTGCCTCAGAACTCCACGGTCTTCCAGTCACACACACACACACACACGCACACGCACACGCACACGCACACGCACACGCACACGCACACGCACACGCACAGTCCATTACACTCACTTACACACACACAGGCACACACACGATTACAGCCCCCTCTCAGGTTAGAGCCTTATTGATGTTCCTGCATCCCCTTGATGTTGCCCAGACAGACACACAGACAGACAGACACAAACACACACAGACAGACAGACAGACACAAACACACAAACACAGACAGACAGACACAAACACACAAACACAGACAGACAGACAGACACAAACACAGACAGACAGACAGACGGACACACAAACACAGACAGACAGACAGACAGACAGACAGACAGACAGACAGACACAAACACACAAACACAGACAGACAGACAGACGGACACAAACACACAAACACAGACAGACAGACACACAAACACAGACAGACAGACACAAACACAGACAGACAGACAGACAGACAGACACAAACTCACAAACACAGACAGACAGACACAAACACACAAACACAGACAGACAGACACAAACAGACAGACAGACAGACACAGACACACAAACACACAAACACAGACAGACAGACAGACACAAACACAGACAGACAGACAGACAGACACAAACACACAAACACAGACAGACAGACAGACGGACACAAACACACAAACACAGACAGACAGACACACAAACACAGACAGACAGACACAAACACAGACAGACAGACAGACAGACAGACAGACACAAACTCACAAACACAGACAGACAGACACAAACACACAAACACAGACAGACAGACACAAACAGACAGACAGACAGACACACAAACACACAAACACAGACAGACAGACAGACAGACAGACACAAACACACAAACACAGACAGACAGACACAAACAGACAGACAGATACAGACACACAAACACACAAACACAGACAGACAGACACAAACACACAAACACAGACAGACAGACAGACACAAACACACAAACACAGACAGACAGACAGACAGACACAAACACACAAACACAGACAGACAGACAGACAGACAGAGACAGACAGACACAAACACACAAACACAGACAGACAGACAGACAGACACAAACACACAAACACAGACAGACACAAACACAGACAGACAGACACAAACAGACAGACAGACAGACAGACAGACAGACAGACACAAACACACAAACACAGACAGACACAAACAAACACACAAACACAGACAGACAGACAGACAGACACAAACACAGACAGACAGACAGACAGACACAAACACACAAACACAGACAGACACAAACAAACACACAAACACAGACAGACAGACAGACAGACACAAACACAGACAGACAGACACAAACACACAAACACAGACAGACAGACAGAGACAGACAGACACAAACACACAAACACACAAACACAGACAGACACAAACACACAAACACACAAACACAGACAGACACACAAACACACACAGACAGACACAAACACACACAGACAGACACAAACACACAAACACACAAACACAGACAGACAGACAGACAGACACAAACACACAAACACACAAACACACAAACACACACAGACAGACAGACAGACAGACTCTGTTCAATCTCCTTTATTTGTATTCAAACCCTTTCTCTTTCACCCTGTGCTTTAAAGCTGCTATGATGCATGTGTGTACGCCAACAAGGAATCAAATGACTAATTGAAAGTGAAATGTGTCGCCTGTTTTTAGCTCCATGTTGATAATTTTCTGGCTTAAACTAAAACTTTAAAATGTAAAAAATGAAAAGCACTTGATGTGTTGTTGACCTCACCTGTGTTTGTGCAGCAGGTAAGCCGGACATGTGTGGAGCGGAGCTGCGGGTGGAGGAGCTGTGGCATCACTACAGGGTGGAGCACGCCATGTCTGAAGGAGCCAAGAACATGCTGAGGCTGCTGGGAGCCGGGAAGGTGCAGGACAAGAAGGCCATGGCCGAGGTCAGAGGGGGGTTTAAAACACATGTGATATTATTGTGATATGTTATGCTCTGATGCTGGAAAACGTTGGTACACCAAAGAAGCACTTAAAGGTGGGGTATTTAATTCACTTCAGAAACACTTTTTGTTATATTCCATGGAATGCTCTTAACATCCTGATAGCAATGAATATATTAAATGCTTTGACAATAAATACATAAAGAAATGTCATCTGTGGAAGCCTTGGCGCTGTAAAAAGCACGACCAATCATCTTGAGCCGGCCCGGCTAAAATAACTGGATGGCCTACCTGCCTGTCAGCCTTCCATCTGTGCACAAACTTATCTCGTGCCCTCATTGGTCATGTGCGCGTCCGTGTGTGTTGGAGGAGGGGCTCTGTAAGGAAGTCTGAAGGAAGGGGCAGATTTTTTCCGGCTGCGTACTTTCAAATTCTAGCGCACTCGAGCTGGTTTCTCCAAAATTACATACCCCACCTTTAACATAGACTACTGTAAATGTGCATGTAACAGGTACACATTTAGATGTATTGGTAAAAACATTGTTTTTCTAGTTTCTATGTACACATCTTTTATAGTATTATTTTTTTTTTGTTGTTGAAAAAGTCTGAAATGTTTTCAGATTAAAACTCTCTGGTTTCCTCTTTGGATTCACGGGAGTAAATAACCTTAAACGTGGCCATCTTTTATCCATATTCACAATATTCAGAGACGTTACAGTGATGTCATGTGTGATGTCATACTGCCTGAAAGGAACTGGGCATGCTGGGAGAAAAAAAGACTTGTATTTGCATTTGAGAAAAATTAAGAGACCATTGAAGCATTATCCGTCTCTCTGGTTTCACTATTTATAGGTATGTGTTTGGGAGGAAACTGTCCCTGAGTCTGGTGGTTTTAGACCTGATACTGCGGTACCGCCTGAGTGTGTTGCTGGGGTGATGGGGGTCTTTTGTAATCATTTCTCCATTTAATTTCCCCATTAAGATCAATACATATTTAAAGTTGAAAGTCCCTGTGTGCTGTGTGCAGGCTCAGTGTGGTCTGGGGGAGTCCTCTCAGCGTCTGGACCTCCTGCGGCTCTCTCTGGATCAGAGGCTGCAGGACCTCCCAGAGGACCACCCTAAAGCCTGCCTCATCAAGGAGGAGCTGCTGCTGGCCGCCTCCTCCGCATTCAGTGCCCGCACCAGCACGCCCTACGTCCAGAACCAGTACAGCACCATGAGCAAACCCTCCCCTCTCACAGGTACACAGAGGGGAATATTTACTGTTTCAGGTGTAAAGGCTGTGTGGCAGTTTGGATACTCTTTATTAGTACACTGCCATGTCGTAGTTTAACATTACAGTACATTTCATTTAGCTAACGCTTTTATTCAAAGTGACATACAGTAAGAAAGATATTAGCCCAGAACAACAAGAAAAATGCTGATATATTTGCTTCAAGCAAGACAAACTATTGTAAGTGACGGCTCATTGGTTTCAAATTTACTAAACTCTTATATATTTTTTACGTTTTTTAATATTATTATTTTTTAATTATGTATTTATTTTGTAGATTTTAATTTACCAATTAATATTTTTGTTATATTCATTTATTTTTTGTGCTTTGTGCTTATATATATTTTTTTTAATTTGATCGTTTATTGCATTTTTTAATTATTTTTATGTATTTATTTTGTAGATTTTATTTTATCATTTCAGATATTTTTTAGATTTTATATATTTTTTTTATCTTCTTTTAGATGTTTCTATGTAAATGGCCATGGTACAAGTGAAACCGGCTGCTTTGCTGCGTCGTCCTTTTTTCATACCTGTGTGACTTTTTTTGGAAGCGCTTATCAACTTATTTTAATCTCCATGTTCTCCCCCCCCTCAGGCACCCTGCAGGTGCACCTTCTGGGCTGCGTGGGGCTTCTGGAGGGGGTCCCGGGGCGCAGCAGAGGGTCTCCGCTCTCTCTCCCCTCCTTCACTGCAGGAGACGGACGGTCCTCCTTCAAACTGAGCGGGCTGTACAGCCGCAGCTCCTCCAGCCTCAGCCTGAAGATCCCCGGGAAGAACGACGAGCTCTCCTGTGAGTGGGGGGGGGGGGGGGGGCTTTTATTGTCATTTGTACATAGCTACAGTGTAGATATATTAATGAGAAACTTAGGTCACAGGCTCCTCCAACAGTGCAACATAATAAAATAGTGAAATATTGCAAGGAGAGTCTATATACAAGTCATTGGAATATGATATATTAGATAAATAATGTGTAAGTAGCAGCCAGATGAATGTTATGGATGTCCTTTCAAAAGTTCAGGTGTTTAACAGTCTGATGGCCTGTGGGATGAAACTGTCCCTGAGTCTGGTGGTTTTAGACCTGACACTGCGGTACTCTGTGGAGTTTAATTTGAGGAAAAGTAGCAATACATTGTAAATATACTCTGTTACAAGTAAAAGTCCTGCATTTAAAATCTGACTTAAGAGAAACTACAAAAGTATTGGCATCCATATATATATTTAAAGGGGACCTATCATGCAAAATGTACTTTTTGATGTCTTTTATACATAACTATGTGTCCCCGGTGTGTCAGGGAACTCACGCAGCGTCAGAAAATAAAACCCTCTCTCTTTCCCTCCGTACCCAAATCTCTAAAAACGGGGGAACAACGGAGCTGATCCAGATTTGCGTCCGATATGACGTAATATCTGAAATGTGGACCCACGGCCCTATCAGAAACGTTGCTATCAGAAACAATGCCCGACTGTTTTGGATGTAATATGGTCGGTGTTTACATTAGCATCGCTAACACTCAGAGCTAACCTGTACTGGAGAGCATGTGTGTGAAGAAGCAGGAAATAAAAAGGAACTCACCTTGTGGTATAACCGGCAAGAGAGAAAGCCTTTGAGCTCCATACTGTTTCAGAAATAACCCTTGATAATCCATGATATGGCGTTTCATCACGGCAGTATTTAGTTTAGACAGTAGCTGCAGGGTCCCGCATGAGCTCAGACCCCTCCTTTTTTATTTTGTAAAGCTTTATACCCAAAATCAGCACTTTTGAAACAGGAAGTGAAATAGAGGGATATGAGGCATGGCTAGAATGGGTGATCTGTTTGGTATTTTGAGCAAAACACTTCATAGACATGTTTTTTATATATTTGTATATATCTGAGACCCATGCTATTGCCTAGAAATAGCATGATAGGTGACCTTTAAGTATCAAAAGTAAAAGTACTCGTTAATTGTAATTGCCCATTTCAGAATCTAATTTCCCCGGCATAAATAAAGATTCAGAAAGCTTCGGCTGGATAATTTATCCAATCAGAATCAAGTTTATTGCTTTGGTATCTGGTGGTGCGAACATAAACAATAATACAAAATAATCTTTTATCTGACGTCCAGCGCTCCGTCTTTTCACCTCTGTTCCTTTCTCTGTCTCGATCCTCCTTAGCAACGGTCATTACAGTCCTTGACAGCGGTCTGTACTACTGTATTAACAACGTGTCACATGTTCCGAATTGACCAATCAGAATCGAGTATACAACCAAGCCGTGTAATATATTGTAATATGGACTGATCAGCATGTATTTATGTGTATTTCCTGGTGTGTTCCAGCGGAGGTGAGCGCGGTGCTGAAGCTGGAGAACACGGTGGTGGGGCAGACGCTCTGGAAGACGGTGGGAGATCAGGCCTGGGGTCAGACCTTCACCCTGGACCTGGAGAGGGTGAGACTCAGCACACACACACACTGTGCATAGTCAACAAAAATAGGTCCTATCGTCTTCTCCTAACCACTCTCCTTAACCTCAGTGAGAAATGTATTAGGAGAGGTGAGAGGAGAGTTCATCAGGACTTGAGAAAAGAGACTTCACTGAAACTGGGAGACTTGTGCAATGTTTTTAGTGTTTGTTGATTGTTATGTACCTGGAAATTAGCTATTGGCAAACATCTGGCATAATTCATCTCTTCTCTTTTCTGAGATTAATGTATTTGTATGCATGGTCCTTGTTGAAATAAATACATAATAACATTGGGAGACTCTGATGGAGGTTATTCAGTCTGCCATAAGGAAACTATCATTTTCTATCTATTCTAACTATCATATAATTTTAATGGACTAAAAGCATCTACACATTTCACAATCAGAATAACTTTATTAGTCCCACAGAGGGGAAATGTACATTTGTTACAGCAGGAAATATGTTGGTTTCCTTGGCAGGTTATGGCATAATTTGTAAAATACTGAATAAGCAGAGTAACATGATCTGTGTTTCTTGGCCACAATCAGTTATTTCCACTAACGGCCAAATGGTGGTCACTTTAAATGTTGCTGCCACAAACAAATATTGCGGGATTACATTATGTCCTTTCCTTTCGCAAAGGATGGTCCATTGTATCCTTAAGGCAATAACAAAGGAAGCATTGAAGCTCATTTCCTATTACCTAGATAATTCAAATCTCTCTTATCATGGCTGACACTTCCTTGTCATTTCACACCGTTAGGAACATCCTTAGATTATTCAGCCTGAGAGATTCACCGTATGCAGCACCATCGATCAGACCCTCATGTTGTGTGTTGTTGTGCTGTTTTTGTTGTTGTTGTGATCAGTCCAGGGAGATGGAGATCGCGGTGTACTGGAGAGATTTCCGCTCCCTGTGTGCTCTGAAGTATCTGAAGCTGGAGGAGTTCCTGGACAACCAAATACACCGGGTGCAACTGGAGCTGGAGCCTCAGGGGGTGCTGCTGGCTGAGGTACACGCACGCACACACACACACACATGCACGCACACACACACACACACGCACACACACACACACACACACACACACACACTGACAGACACAGACACACATGCACACACACACTGACAGACACAGACACACACGCACCACACAGACATGCACACACACACACACTCACTCACTCACTCACACACGGACACACACAGAGACACACACAGAGACACACGCACACACACACACACAGACAGACACAGACACACACACACCACAGAGACACAGAGACACACACACACACACACACACACACTCACTCACTCACTCACTCACTCACTCACTCACTCACTCACTCACTCACTCACTCACTCACTCACTCACTCACACACGGACACACACACACAGTAAACACACACACACAGACACACAGACACACACACAGACTCACTCACTCACTCACTCTCACACACACGCACACACTCACTCACACACGGACATACACACACAGTAAACACACACACACACACAGTAAACACACACACACACACAGTAAACACAGACACACAGATGCACACACAGACTCACTCACTCACTCTCACATACACGCACACACACACACACACACAGTAAACACACTTAAAAAGGCCATAAAAATGATTTTTTAAAACTGTATAAAAAGTCAAATGTAAAAAATATTGACCTGCAGGCTCCCTCAACAAAATGGTTGTCTCCGTGTCAAACAAACGTTTATGAAACTTACTAGTACTTATGTATTTGATGTCGTAGAACAAAACGTCATTACCTCTTCAGCTTGTGTTAACCACAGATCTTACTTCAGAATAACAACCAAACACACATTCAGAAAACCAATGACTTGGAGACGAGCGAACAGGAAGTGTTAAAATGTCATTGTTTTAGGAATCATTGCTATTACACTTTAGGGTATCCTGTATTTGCATGAAACACACTGGTAATACAAAGAGACAGGAGTTGTGTTTTTTAACTCAAACAAACACTTTGTTGAACATATTGTTTTTATTTCAGGTGATTTTCTTCAACCCTGTAATAGAGAGAGGCCGAAGACTCCAGAGGCAGAAGAAAGTTTTCTCAAAACAGCACGGTAAGTTTACACACACTCTTCACACACTCTTCACACACTCTTACCAAACATTTTTCTCTGCTGAGGAATTTGTCTCCTCTAGAGTTCCTGCTGGTCTCATTACACTCAGAGACAGATTCAATAAGACCTTAGCATAGTCCACATTTAAGTCATAAAGTCTCTACTTTAAAGAGTCCTCTCCTGCTGATGTTCAGGTGTATATCAGTATGTAGTGTCTCTACTTTAAAGAGTCCTCTCCTGCTGATGTTCAGGTGTATATCAGTATGTAGTGTCTCTACTTTAAAGAGTCCTCTCCCGCTGATGTTCAGGTGTATATCAGTATGTAGTGTCTCTACTTTAAAGAGTCCTCTCCTGCTGATGTTCAGGTGTATATCAGTATGTAGTGTCTCTACTTTAAAGAGTCCTCTCCTGCTGATGTTCAGGTGTATATCAGTATGTAGTGTCTCTACTTTAAAGAGTCCTCTCCTGCTGATGTTCAGGTGTATATCAGTATGTAGTGTCTCTACTTTAAAGAGTCCTCTCCTGATGATGTTCAGGTGTATATCAGTATGTAGTGTCTCTACTTTAAAGAGTCCTCTCCTGCTGATGTTCAGGTGTATATCAGTATGTAGTGTCTCTTCTGTGACATGTCTCCATGATTTAATGTTCAAAAAGCTCTTTATTTTTCTCATACTGTCTGTGCTGCAGCACCTCTTTTCACCCTCTGTCTGAAACCAGAGCCCAGTCTGCTCTGATTGGTTAGCTGGCCGGCTCTGTTGTGATTGGTCAACCGCTTATAGATGTCCCGCCCCTTAGCCTATCATGTAAATGTATTGTGGTGCCATATACATCCACAGAAACCTATATAACACACTACAGGAAAGCCCAAAAAGCACAATAGGGCCTTTTTAAATGATATTCAACAACCATATATCTGTCATGCTAACATAAACAGTTTTACTCAAATATCAAAATGTGCTGAAGTGGCTCGTACACAGTGTGTTACTAGGAAGAGGTCAGAAAGAGGATGTAATTATGCTAACCTCAGCATCAGTATCCTGTAGCTTTAATGATGTAATTGCGCTGAGCTGCAGCATGACCTGTTTGCATTTCCTGTTAATGTTTATATTCCCACTTCCAGAAAATACCACAGGCCATTAACACTGTATCTGCTGCGGCATCTCAACATCTGTGGCTTCTGAGTACTTTAAATAAGAAGGGAATACTTATACAGTATATGTAAAGTACTTCATGTAGGTTGTCCGATTCGAAGAGGCCCAACAGGCTGGGATAACTCCATCAAATAGTAGAAAGAAAGCAGATAAGATAAGAAGTACTTTATTATCCCAATTAGGGAAATGTTTGCGTTGCAGCAGCATTGTACATAAGAGAAATTAAAAGACTCTCAAATAGAAATAAAATGGTACATCGAGTAATGGTCTTTAATACGCGTTAAGGATTCCAGATTCAACCCCAGCGACGACTGTTTTAAATGTTTGACCATTAATCAGAGAAGGCAAAAGTACACACATCCTTTACTCAGGTAGAAGTACAGATAATCGTGTTTAAAAATGCTCTGGTGAAAGTAGAAGTACTGACTAAACTTCTTTACTCAAGTAAAAGTAAAGAGGGCTTTGAAATGTACTTCAGTAAAAAGTACCCATAACTAGCAGCTGTTTTAAAGAGTACCTGACCTCCCTTTATATTAATAGAACAATAATGTCATTGTTAGCTAATGAATGTTTCCATGCTGAACAACGGCAACATGACAACGTTTTCATTGGTCCCTCTTCTTTAGAGAAGACCAGGAAATGATGGATACACGGATCGTGTTCAAATCAATAGGCACGCAATGACTCTAAATAATAATGATCACGCCACCAAACACACATTCAAACTAAAGGAACCAGCCTGTTTGGAAAATGTAAGAAGTAGACAGTACAGGTATTTGGGTTCAACATGTAAGAAGTAGAAAGTACAGGTATTTGTGTTCAACATGTAAGAAGTAGAAAGTACAGGTATTTGTGTTCAACATGTAAGAAGTAGAAAGTACAGGTATTTGGGTTCAAAATGTAAGAAGTAGAAAGTACAGATGTTTGTGTTCAACATGTAAGAAGTAGAAAGTACAGGTATTTGGGTTCAACATGTAAGAAGTAGAAAGTACAGGTATTTGAGTTCAAAATGTAAGAAGTAGAAAGTACAGGTATTTGTGTTCAAAATGTAAGAAGTAGAAAGTACAGGTATTTGGGTTCAACATGTAAGAAGTAGAAAGTACAGGTATTTGGGTTCAACATGTAAGAAGTAGAAAGTACAGGTATTTGGGTTCAACATGTAAGAAGTAGAAAGTACAGGTATTTGGGTTCAACATGTAAGAAGTAGAAAGTACAGGTATTTGGGTTCAACATGTAAGAAGTAGAAAGTACAGGTATTTGTGTTCAACATGTAAGAAGTAGAAAGTACAGGTATTTGTGTTCAACATGTAAGAAGTAGAAAGTTCAGGTATTTGTGTTCAAAATGTAAGAAGTAGAAAGTACAGGTATTTGGGTTCAACATGTAAGAAGTAGAAGTACAGGTATTTGTGTTCAACATGTAAGAAGTAGAAAGTTCAGGTATTTGTGTTCAAAATGTAAGAAGTAGAAAGTACAGGTATTTGTGTTCAACATGTAAGAAGTAGAAAGTACAGGTATTTGGGTTCAAAATGTAAGAAGTAGAAAGTACAGGTATTTGTGTTCAAAATGTAAGAAGTAGAAAGTACAGGTATTTGTGTTCAACATGTAAGAAGTAGAAAGTACAGGTATTTGTGTTCAAAATGTAAGAAGTAGAAAGTACAGGTATTTGTGTTCAACATGTAAGAAGTAGAAAGTACAGGTATTTGTGTTCAACATGTAAGAAGTAGAAAGTACAGGTATTTGTGTTCAACATGTAAGAAGTAGAAAGTACAGGTATTTGTGTTCAACATGTAAGAAGTAGAAAGTACAGGTATTTGTGTTCAAAATGTAAGAAGTAGAAAGTACAGGTATTTGTGTTCAACATGTAAGAAGTAGAAAGTACAGGTATTTGTGTTCAACATGTAAGAAGTCAAAGTAAAAAGTCGTCAGAAAAATAAGTAGTGGAGTAAAGTACTGATACCAGAGAAATGTACTTAAGTACAGTAACGAAGTATTTGTACTCCACTACTTCCCACCTCTGCCATTAATTGATCTGTTTGTATTCCTCTGTGTGTTTCAGGTAAAGCGTTCCTGCGCGCCCGGCAGATGAACGTGGACATCGCCACCTGGGTCCGCCTCCTGAGGAACGCCATCCCCAGCGGCAGCAACGCCCCGTCATACACCCCCAACTTCACCAGCAACACACACACTCACAACTCAGGGTGTGTGTGCCTGCTACTCTGGGGAATAAAGGGATTTAAAGAACAGTTAATTATTACATATTATATTAAGGCACCATTTTCTGGTGAGAAATTAGGCTTTAAGTTGAACAAAATAGATAAACAAAAATGCTGAAAAATAATAATGATAATAAAAAATGATTGATAATTATTATTGATGTATAATAATATGCATCTAATAATAATAATAAATAAATATATTTGATATTACTTTCAAACACTTAAAATATACAGGATAAATTCCACAAAAAAAATGAAAAACAACTCAATTAATATATAAAATACACAATATTGATTACCTATTAAAGGGTTTGAACAGGTGTGTTTAGATTTGTAATAAAGACAGACAGGTGCATTCCCCAGGGGCCTCCCTTTTTATATATGAAAACATCCTAAAGAAATGTTATTATAATTATCTGTGACATGTTTATGCATATTTAAGTGAAGTTAAATGAAGAAACACCTTTGTTTTATGGTTGCTTTCATTACATTTGCCTCGGATTTATAAGGCAATATATTTTAATGTTTTCCTTACACGTGTACGTACGATATTCCCAGGAGAACCGTAAGTGAATTTCGTCAACAGTAAACCAACATAGTGGCCACAAAAGTTGATTTAATAGTCTGAATATCTAGTAATCACATTAAAACCTCTGCTATTGGCAAAGTGAAAGCCTTATTGTGCATGAGGAATGACACATTAATTAATCTTCCACAGCGTTGAGTTAGTTTCAGCAAAAGCCTTTTAATCTGTTCCCTGCAGCAGAGAGTCTGATTTATTTCTGTGTGTGTGTGTGTGTGTGTGTGTGTGTGTGTGTGTGTGTGTGTGTGTGTGTGTGTGTGTGTGTGTGTGTGTGTGTGTGTGTGTGTGTGTGTGTGTGTGTGTGTGTGTGTGTGTGTGTGTGTGTGTGTGTGTGTGTGTGTGTGTGTGTGTGTGTGTGTGTGTGTGTGTGTGTGTGTGTGTGTGTGTGTGTGTGTGTGTGTGTGTGTGTGTGTGTGTGTGTGTGTGTGTGTGTGTGGTGTGTGTGTGTGTGTGTGTGTGTGTGTGTGTGTGTGTGTGTGTGTGTGTGTGTGTGTGTGTGTGTGTGTGTGTGTGTGTGTGTGTGTGTGTGTGTGTGTGTGTGTGTGTGTTTTCAGAGAGATCTCGGTGGAGAAGCTGAGTCTGGGCGGCGACTCTCCTCCCAAAGCGGACCAGAGAGACGTGGTGGACGCTGCCTCGGTGAGTCTGAGACGGAGGATCTGGCATCTTTTTCTTAAACAATACATACAGTTTCAATTACAAAGAAAACAGGTGTGCAGGATGTCCATTTTTTAACCCCCCCCTACAGAATAAGTCAAGACTAATAGTACAATTTTTTTTAAATGATAGACAAACAGACGGTTGAAATCACAGCACAAAAAACTAAAACAAAACAACAACAACAAAAAAGACATAACAAGGTCGAGATAATTGTTAGTCATGGTTGACTATTGTAAATCAGTTGGGGAAGAGTAGGCAGTTTCAAACGTTCCATGTACGTTACAAATGGTTGCCATGTCCTATAGAATTTACAAGTGGAGCCACCCAAAGTACACTTTATTTTCTCCATGTGTAGAAACTCTCCCACTGGACATGAGAGTGGGAGACGCCTCCTGCTTCCACCTCATAAGTATAAGTCGTCTAGCAATAGAGCGGAGCAGGGATGACGTATTTACCCTGAAGTAAGCTGCTGGTTCCCTCGACGAAAAAGCAATGGGATTTCTCCATGGGATTTTGGAAAATAGCTCAAAATAAGATCTGTGGAAAACGAAGCTGTTTGATAAATGCACGTTTTGTTCAGCCGGATAATCTCCACATGTCTACCCTACTTTTATCATTTTCTAATCATAAATCTAATCGCCAGAAGTAAAATGATAACGTTATGCTATAAAGGAACTACAGCCGAGTACAGCTGCACGACTTCAACGTCACGCCAACTTAAAATCCATATTCAAACATACAGATTCTAAATGGAGTTGAAGCGTTTGTTTGAACAGTTAGCAGGAGGCAGGTACTTGCTTTCAAGCAGAACAGGGCAAACAAACTTAGAGGAGTGTTTACGTGTTCGGCGTAATGACGTACAACGTCCTCCTCAACTTCTGTAGTCCTATTCAGCCACTTGGTAACAACCATCGTTTTTCAGACACGTAAACTCTTCAGAAATCACCAGTGGGGTCACTGCTGATGGATTTAATGTCGTAGAACAAAACGTGATCCGTCTCTTGACTTTGTGTCAAACACAGACCTTATTTCCAGCTATTTTCCAAAACCCTATGGAGAGATCCCATTGGCTCTGAGACGAGGGAACAGGAAGTGGTGAAATGCTGACTCACTTCCGGGTTTTAGGACTCGTCACGGCACCACTCTATTAGGGAAGCAAAAGCAACAGCGTTTGAATAATGTCTGGAAGGCCCAATCCCAAACCACGCACTACACCCTACCCCTACACACTACCCCTCCGTTTGCGCGTTCACGCGGAGGGTCCGCCACATTAAGTGCTGTTCCAAACCAACGAGTGTGGAGCGGTGTGGAGGGGGAGTGGGCTATCAAGCCCTCAAACAGCGAGTCTGCAGCGGTGCTGACTGGAGACCGGTCTCTACCTGACCGGAGTCACGCTGTGTGTGTCCGTCAGGAAACACGCTGTTTACAAGTAGTTCCAGCAAACATCCACTGATAAACTGCGATGTTAACAACCTCATGATAACCTCATATTTTTTTAACTTAGGATCATACCTGTGTTTAGTCTAGAAAAAGGTAAATGTGTGCATTTTATTATAAAGTTGTGTATATTTACAGACTGTTGCAAAAACTAAGAAGCTTATAAACATCAGGTTTAAAACTAAAAGAGCTTTACAAAAAAGTAACACAATGAAAGATGTTTGGAGTTTTATTTGAGTTCTTAATTTACATTTTTTGTCTAAGAGAAGCTGATTTGAAACCGTTGTTACATACAGTTACGGCATTTCCTGTTTCTGCCGGAGAGAGGGGAGTTTGTCCCAAAGCTTGCCGCTGTATTTACTCCCTCCATCTGACAGGGGGGAGCCTCGTTGAGCTACGAGGGTCACTCCACGGAGTTCACTCCGTCACGGAGGGGTAGTGTGTAGGGGTAGGGTGTAGGGGTAGGGGGTAGGGTGTAGGGGGTAGTGGGTAGGGTATAGGGGTAGTGTGTAGGGGTAGTGTGTAGGGGTAGTGTGTAGGGGTAGGGTGTAGGGCGTGGTTTGGGATTGGGCCGAAAGGACAATGTCGTCCGGGACGACTGCAATAATTGCAGTAAGAGGAGAAGGGGTACATTTTACTCTAAAGATCTTAGAAAACGTATCAAATATAGATGTCCAATAATGATGAAGATGTGGACATGTACAGAAAGTATGAATGAGGGACCCTGTTACTGACTTACAGAGATGGGCATCTTTAACTCTCCTGTTACCGCTCTGTTTCTCCTACCTGCCTCAGGAACAGAGATCCAGTCTGTTCTGTGAAACCTGACACTGGCAGAGCGGCAGGAGGAGGAATAATTAGAGAACAGGGAGGCAGATTTAATGAGACATAATGAGACATAATGAGACATAATTGGACGGAGGGGAGCTTTAATTTGATCAAGGGCCAAATCCGTGTTAGTATCCCCAGTGAGGAGAACACAAAGTCCAGAGGGTGATGAAGTGAGGGGAGTGGAAAGGTTGTTGTGGCTTCCTTCCTTGTTCATCTATCAAGCCACTAGACGCTTTAAACAGACATTTTTTACTCGTTTTCTTTCCTTTATAATACTTACAGTTGAAGAGTTGCTTGGCCTCCGATGGTTTTTAGATGATGTTATTCGATGTGTTTGCTCAAAATAAAATAACTAACTTTTACACATGCAACAAAGAAAAGAGGCCTTTACAATATTCAAAACAAATAGGCAAAAATAAAATAACAAACAACTTAGGTATTCTTTCTGTCTTGATAAGGCTTATATAACTTAATAACTTAAAGGGTAATTGTACGGTTAAAAACTGTTCCTCGACGGCGTCTTTCTAGCAGGTTGCTGCCCATCACTGTCACTTTAGAGGAGGCGCCGTGGGAATTGTCTTTTATAGTGTGTTGACTACAGACGTCACAATTAGGCCACGTTTACACGGAGACGAAACGGAGACGAAACGGAGACGAAAACTAACCTTAGTCCATATAAAAAAAAAGTCTTCAGTCCAAACGGAATCGGCTCAAGAAACGTGTCCGTCCGCACGAGACCGCTCGACCCGCTGGAGACGCTGTAGTACATATGCCGGGCCTGTAAGTGGCGCTGTACTCCCGCCACAAAATACACCAGAAGCAGCGAAGAAGACCCCCCGAGCATGGTTGCCATGGTTGCCTGGTTGCCCTTCTGTTTAGTCTCCGCGGTAGATTTTAGCAACATGTAGTTCATGTAATTCTCCATGTCCACTTGTTGCTGATGGTTGTGGTAGAGGAGCTGTAGATTTTGCACTAACATCTGTAGCATGGTCAGTAGCGTCTGGAGCACGAAAGCAACCCTGTGATCCGCCATTGTTGTTGTTGTTGTTGGCGAAACACATCAGCAATGACGCGGGTGACGCGAGGGTGAGCAGCAGAGGTGGGGAGAGGAGGGGCTATGGCGTCATCGTTATCAGGAAATGATCGTATAGGACGTAGACACGGAGCCATTTGGCCCCCCAGAGCGCTCCGTCCGTAGATCTACCCACCTTGGGAGCCGTTATCGTTTGAGGGCTCCGTTTCCGCGGTTCCGTACCCAAATCTCTAAAAACGGGGGTACGACGGAGCTGATCCAGATTTGCGTCCGATAAGACGATCAGAAACAATGCCCGACTGTTTTGGACGTAATATGGTCGGTGTTTACATTAGCATCGCTAACACTCAGAGCTAACCTGTACTGGAGAGCATGTGTGTGAAGAAGCAGGAAATAAAAAGGAACTCACCTTGTGGTATAACCGGCAAGAGAGAAAGCCTTTGAGCTCCATACTGTTTCAGAAATAATCCTTGATAATCCATGATATGGCGTTTCATCACGGCAGCATTTAGTTTAGACAGTAGCTGCCGGGTCCTGCATGAGCTCAGCCCCCTCCTTTTAGATTTTGTATCCTTTTTCCTTAAGCTTTATACTCCAAATCAGCACTTTTGAAACAGGAAGTGAAATAGAGGGATATGAGGCATGGCTAGAATGGGTGATCTGTTTGGTATTTTGAGCAAAACACTTCATAGACATGTTTTTTATATATTTGTATATATCTGAGACCTATGCTATTGCCTAAAAATAGCATGATAGGTGACCTTTAAATGAGAGTAACCACAGCTTATTACACCTTACTTTTTTTTAAAACAGACCAATTTGAATTATCGTCAGACTAAATGTCACAATTCACTGCACCCTCCTAACGCCAAAATGCCCTCTTGATTACATATTTTTTTATTTGTCTAATAGATTATTGTCTTAGTGTTACTCGCGACCGTAAGGTCAGTTTAATTTGAATTTTGTAGACCGCAGCCTCAGAGCAGTTTGAGCTCAGAGAGTCGGGGATCAGAGGAACAGATGGCGTGTTCAGTGGGGTCGAAGTATTATTGGATTAATTACTCTGATATTTTTGAGAGAGCTAATTAGAAGCGAGCGGGGGATCGAGTCTGTTTGGCCTGAAGGTCGTTAGAGATGTCAGCAAACCACTTCTCTCCTTAGTTTTGTTATTTTTCATGTTCAAACGTTCAAAACAAACACGATAAAAAAATTCCATAAGTAGGACCGAAAAGGACAAAATTGTAAAATTCAATAAAACACAAACATATGATCATAATCTGTTTAAAACATATAAAAATAACCAAACAAATAAATAGAAGCATAAGAAAAGACCAATAGAAGGGGAAGGGGGTCAACAGACATTTGCTAAATTGAATACTAGGTCTTCCTTTAAAAAATGTCTACAATGGATAAAAGCTGCTTGTCCTATTGTCCTTCCAATGCAGTGAAGCTAGAACAGGAGAAATAAGCCCTTTTTCGCTAGATTTGTTAAAAGATTAGCGTGGTAGTTCTGAATACGCTGTAGTTTCTCTGTTGTATATTAAATAACCCGTAGATGATCACAGGAATGAGCCTTTCAGCGTCTTGTTTATTTAAAAACTGAACAATATTTTGTATTAATTTGTCTCCTTCCTCTTCGTCAGGAGCAGACGCCCGTCATCGAGTCGACGCCAGATATCCACGCTCAGCAGCCAATCAGATCACTGTCACACAACTCTTTACGCAGGTAGGTACACACACACACACACACACACACACACACACACACACACACACACACACACACACACACGCATCCATATAGTCAATAGCAGAGCAACACATAACACACACGCACACACACACATACACACACACACATCCATATAGTCAATAGCAGAGCAACACATAACACACACGCGCACACACACATACACACACACACATCCATATAGTCAATAGCAGAGCAACACATAACACACATTGCACACACACACATACACACATACATACACACACACACACACACACACACACACACACACACACACACACACACAGAGATTGGAAGCACACCTGAACCTTTATTTTTGCATCTTGGCCAACACATCTTGACTCCAGCAACACACACACACACACACACACACACACACACACACACACACACACACACACAGACACACACACACACTATGCTCCTGTGTTGTAACCTGTTCTTTCAGCATGTGGTCGCAGAGAACTGCTGAGTCATCGTTAATTTGGATCACAGCATATGTTGCCCTAAATAACAAATACTCGGCTCTGCTGGAAACACAGAATAATCACTGTAAGAGTCACATGATGAACAGAATTAGCATTTTTTTATTACAAAACAGGACATTTCGACATGTTGAGTGTATGAGAAACATTTAAATATGACATTATGTTTCATGCAGTGCCTATAACCTCTGTTTCAGAACAAGCAGAGACCCTCTCTCTCTCACAGACTTCAAACTGGTTGCAGTGCTCGGCCGGGGACACTTTGGGAAGGTACACTTTATTTTTTTAAGCAGTTTTTCTCATTGAAAAATCCCTGCTTAACCCACTTTACATACCTGCTCAGCACCAAATAGCAGACATAGCCAGTAATCATCCAGCCAGTTAAACTTAAGTATTTGTTCTTAAAGTTTTAAATCTTCAGTAGGAACAAAAGGGCAATGTGGAGAAATGAACTAGCATGTTGTCTTTTTCATTTGTTGACATTTACTCAATTAAAAACCTCCCCAGGTGTTGCTGTCAGAGTACAAACAGACGAGCTCTCTGTATGCCATCAAAGCTCTGAAGAAGGGAGACATCGTAGCGAGGGATGAAGTGGAGAGGTAACAAATCTCTCAGTGACCTCCAGCAGTCTCAGCTATCCCATAATAACATCTCACTGCAGTAACCTCTGCCCCTCCCCTGTGTTTCCTCAGCCTGATGTGTGAGAAGCGGATCTTTGAGACGGTGACCGGCTCGCACCACCCCTTCCTCGTCAACCTGTTCGCATGTTTCCAGACGCCGGAGCACGTGTGTTTTGTGATGGAGTACACGGCGGGGGGGGACCTCATGATGCACATCCACGCAGACGTCTTCTCCGAGCCTCGCGCTGTGTGAGTCCAGTGTGTGTGTGTGTGTGGAAAAGAGGAAACTAGACGAGTGTGAATCCATGTATCTGTGCACGCATTAATGTATGAGGCGTCAATATGTAGTAGTGTAGTAGTATTTCATTGTGTGTTTGTGTGTGTTTTTTATCCAACAGGTTCTACTCTGCGTGTGTAGTGTTGGGTCTGCAGTTCCTTCACGACCATAAGATTGTGTATCGGTGAGTAGAAGCATATAGAACGGTGCAGGGATGACGTATATTTGTCGGCAGACCCGGATGCATTGCAAGGGCTTCCTTTGACAAAAAGCCAATGGGACTTCTTCATTGGATTTTGGATTATTGCAGAAAAAAAGCCAGAAGTAAAAAGCTAATGTTAGGCTATAAAGGGACTACAGCACGGTCACATGACTTCACGTCACCACCGCTAAGCTAAAGGTGGCTAATGTTGGGCTATAACGGAACTACAGCACAGTCACATGACTTCACGTCACCACCGCTAAGCTAAAGGTGGCTAATGTTGGGCTATAAAGGGACTACAGCACGGTCACATGACTTCACGTCACCACCGCTAAGCTGAAGGTGGCTAATGTTGGGCTATAAAGGAACTACAGCACGGTCACATGACTTCACGTCACCACCGCTAAGCTAAAAGTGGCTAATGTTGGGCTATAAAGGAACTACAGCACGGTCACATGACTTCACGTCACCACCGCTAAGCTAAAGGTGGCTAATGTTGGGCTATAAAGGAACTACAGCAAGGTCACATGACTTCACGTCACCACCACTAAGCTAAAGGTGGCTAATGTTGGGCTATAAAGGGACTACAGCACGGTCACATGACTTCATGTCACCACCGCTAAGACGTCACCACCACTAAGCTAAAGGTGGCTAATGTTGGGCTATAAAGGGACTACAGCACGGTCACATGACTTCATGTCACCACCGCTAAGCTGAAGGTGGCTAATGTTGGGCTATAAAGGAACTACAGCACGGTCACATGACTTAACGCCACCACCGCTAAGCTAAAGGTGGCTAATGTTGGGCTATAAAGGAACTACAGCACGGTCACATGACTTCACGTCACCACCGCTAAGCTAACGGTGGCTAATGTTGGGCTATAAAGGGACTACAGCAAGGTCACATGACTTCACGTCACCACCGCTAAGCTAAAGGTGGCTAATGTTGGGCTATAAAGGAACTACAGCACGGTCACATGACTTCACGTCACCACCGCTAAGCTAAAGGCGGCTAATGTTGGGCGTGATGACGTTTAGTCGTCTCATTTAGACACTTGTTAGCAACCACCGTTTATAAATTCACCAGTGGGGTATTTACTTACGTAATTTATGTGGTAGAACAAAACATTAAAATCTCTTCAGCTTGTGTCATTCAGTCGTTCCTGCACCACTCTGCATTGTACAACACCTGATATCTGACAAAATCTCTTCTTTTTCTTTCCAGGGATCTCAAACTGGACAACCTGCTGCTGGACACACAGGGCTTTGTGAAGATCGCAGACTTTGGGCTGTGTAAAGAAGGTTAGTGTCTAATATGTATTTATTTATTTATTTATTTATCATACTGGCCATCTACAAACCCTGATAAAGAACATGTAAACATTAATTTGATGTTAATCAGAATACTTTATTCATCCCGGGGGAATTTGGGTTTTCTTATTATTATTCTATATATCTTTTGTTTATCTTTACAAAAACACAAAGAGTTTCCAGTGTTTGTGCTAAGCTAAGCTAACCGGCTGCTGATTGTAACTCCCTGACATTTTGGAAATTATGCTTTATTGCAAACTGTTCCTGCAAGTCAGAAAGATATTGATCTTCAGTAAGAGAAAATAAGGGTTTACTGCTGATGGTCATTTCTTCTGTAAGAGGGAAAGAAAACAAAGATGTGAAAAAATATCTGGAGGGGGGAGATAGACAGCCTCCTCTTTGTATCTGGGAACAATGGGCTTAATGGGAAATGTTACAGTTAATAATAAGAATAAGTAAACTTGACTTAATGAAAATGTACGGTCCCACTTTCTTTAGATTAGATTAGATTCCTTTATTGTCACTAGTACACAGAGTTCAGCGAAATTCCAAGCATTACCGATGGTGCAATCCCACATAACAGACGGTATAAGTATCATTTTGACAATACAAGCTAAAAACTTTTAATATATAAAGTGACTATAAATTGGACCTATGATACATTGAACAGTACGCTTACAAAACAATACAACATTACCATACAAATACAAGAACAATACGGTCAAGGCAGTAACAAATGTACACAAGTCAATAAGTAAGCTATTGTTCATGTATTTATCAGTGCAGTTGATAATTACAAAACTAGAAATAAATATGTGTTCTATAAAAACGGTATGAGGTAGATCACATGTGTCAAACTCGAGGCCCGGGGGCCAAATCAGGCCCGTGGTGGATTTAATTTCGACCCACAGGATAATTTCTAATTATTATTAGATCTGGCCCGCCGGTATATTGCACGCACACCTTCACTCAATCCTGAGGAGCTCCTCCGCTCAGAGCCTGACCCCAAACATTGATGAACTTGCACCCAAGATGAGATGCCAAGTATCTGGCTTGAACTAGCATCACAGAGCAGCACACTGAGTTTACATGGATGTTTCCTTCTGCACTTTGTTTCTTGAGACAACAGGGCATGTTTGGTTTTCTCTTTGAGGGAAATAGTTTTTTTGAAGCTGTTGTTGGCCTGTGGAGAAATGTAATCATAAGAAATGACTCTGCAGATAGAGCCATAAGAAATGAATGCAACTGATTATTTAATGTTTAATGTTGTTTTTATAGGCAATAATTTAAGCTGTGTTAGTTCCAGGTTTAATATGTGCAATAAGTTCATTTCAAAAAGTTCTACAATAAACATTGAACCAGTCCGGCCCTCGACTAGTACCCATTTTTCAATTTTGGCCCACTGTGTATTTGAGTTTGACACCCCTGAGGTAGAATATAAAGTGCAGTCTCTTACTTGTTACTCTCTCACTTTCTGTTCTTCAGGAATGGGTTTTGGGGACAGGACGAGCACTTTCTGTGGGACCCCTGAGTTTTTGGCCCCGGAGGTTTTGACGGACACGTCGTACACCAGAGCCGTGGACTGGTGGGGGCTCGGGGTGCTGGTGTATGAGATGCTGGTGGGGGAGGTGAGAGGACAGAGATGGAGGAGGGTTTTTTTTCTTATAATTTATTTTTCACAGACATTACCTAAATAGGACATACATGGAGATGCTTACATAACTGCAGCTGTTGTACATCAGGGTTAATCATTCATACCCTCATTGGACACTAAAAAGACATTACATTTCCTGATGCTATTCATATTGTGCAAACATTATCAACATATTACAGACATCATCATTCCCCCGGAGGAGTTTTTTTTTTAATAACTATTTACCTTGAGGGTCCAAGGACAGAGGGGGTCGTGTTCATATTCTGTACAATCTTTAAAGTCCTCTGAGAGAGATGTAACATTTGTGATATTGGGCTATATAAATAAACTTTGATTGATTGATTGATTGTCTATCAAATATGCTGAGGAAGGGATTTATTTTGTGTTTTCATCCATAGTACAGCAAGCAGGTGGTTAGCTTAGCTTAGCATTAGACAATGTCTTTCATTTTTGTAAATCACTTTGAATTGCCTTGTGTTAAAAGGTGCTATATAAATAAACTTGCCTTGCTTAAAGGATGGAAACACTCTTGCAAAGGCAAAAAGAAATCCACCAACCAGCTCCTTTTTGAAGCTAATCCATTACTTTGATAGATCTTTGGTATGCATCCCTACAAAAGCACAGAGTCTACAATATGTGCTGCACTCCAGACTAATGTGTGTGTTTCCTTCAGTCTCCGTTCCCAGGGGACGATGAGGAGGAGGTGTTCGACAGCATAGTGAACGATGAAGTGCGCTACCCTCGCTTCCTCTCCACCGAGGCCATCGGCATCATGAGACGGGTCAGAACTAACACTCGATTTCATTAGACAGTTTGACTGTTTGTGCTTTTAATTGTGAAAATATCCACATTTAAGTCACTCATAACGGATGGATTGTTACTTGTTGTTTCTCTGTTGTTTAGTTGTTGAGAAGGAACCCTGAAAGACGTCTGGGCTCCGGAGAGAAAGACGCAGAAGATGTGAAAAAACAACCTTTCTTCAGGGTGAGTTTGTCTCCCACACTACATACTGATATACACCTGAACATCAGCAGGAGAGGACTCTTTAAAGTAGAGACACTACATACTGATATACACCTGAACATCAGCAGGAGAGGACTCTTTAAAGTAGAGACACTACATACTGATATACACCTGAACATCAGCAGGAGAGGACTCTTTAAAGTAGAGACACTACATACTGAAATACACCTGAACATCAGCAGGAGAGGACTCTTTAAAGTAGAGACACTACATACTGATATACACCTGAACATCAGCAGGAGAGGACTCTTTAAAGTAGAGACACTACATACTGATATACACCTGAACATCAGCAGGAGAGGACTCTTTAAAGTAGAGACACTACATACTGATATACACCTGAACATCAGCAGGAGAGGACTCTTTAAAGTAGAGACACTACATACTGATATACACCTGAAGATCAGCAGGAGAGGACTCTTTAAAGTAGAGACACTACATACTGATCCCACCTACAGGAATCATCATGTCGAAGTGTCTCTTGGGTAAAGATACTAAACCCCTAAACTGCTCTCATGTCTGCAGGATTGAAGTGAATGTAAGTCAGTTTGTATAAAAGCATCAGCTCACTAACATGTCTTCCTGTCCTCAGAGTGTGGACTGGGAGTCTCTCCTTCAGAGGAAACTCCCGCCTCCATTCCTCCCGACCATCGGAGGGAAAGAAGACGTCAGCAACTTCGATGTGGAGTTCACCGCGGAGGCTCCGGCCCTCACGCCCCCCCGAGAGCGCCGCACGCTGTCCCTCAAAGAGCAGGACCACTTCAAGGACTTCGACTACGTATCTGACCTCTGCTAGGGGGTCAAGGTCAGCTGAAACAGACCTTGAGGACTCTGAGAAGTGACTCTTGACGGACCCTCTGGAGGCAAAGGGTCTCTCTAACTTCATTTGTGGATCACGTGGCGTTTATTTCAATGTGTCACGGATCTACTGACCTCCAGAGATCTGCAGAACCGTGACAGGAAGCTGTGACGACACCGGAGAATAATCCAGATTAAGTAACAAATGGAAGATGATGGTGGATCCTGCTGAGAGCCTATGAATCACTGAGTAAAAAAGAGATGTTTCTGAGTTTCTCTTCTCTCTTTTTGTCCCTTTTATCATCGCTATGTGTTGCTGCTAAGTGTGTTTCCCTGCCTCAGTGAATGTATCAGCTGCACCACCTGGACTCAAACACAAGGGGGAACCAGAGGGAAGAAGAAGTGCTGATTTCGCACAAATAAGAGTGAGTATTACCACAGAAGGAGGGTGCTCATCGTCGTCTCCTCGGTCCACTCTCTTTCGGTACAACACAGATTTTTAACTACAATCATTTTTCAATGACTTTTACAGTTTCCTTTTTTGTGATTTATAGTTTGTATTCCCCCCCCCCCCCCCCCCCCCCCCCCCCCCCCCCCCCCGTCTGTGTTCCCTCCTCTGTCATTTGCTGGTGAAATATGTTGGACCTGTGACTCAGTAAAGATGTGAACCCAACACAGAAGCAGTGGTCACTTTATTGTCATATTTTTGCAGTTTTTCACGCAGTCATAAATTATATTTTGAGCTCGATTTAACCCAATATATGTCAGGAGGGTAAAGAGCTGATCCCCTGACTTCTGAAGCTCCACCATGAGGTTGAAATGTGGGTTTTTAGTGAAATGTCTTGTCGTCTTTTGGGGTGGATTTCTGGTTCAGACATTGACGTTAACCTCACAAAGAACTGATCGCCATCATTTAGTAAAAAATTTCAATTAACAAATACTTTGCTTTATGATAAATCTCCTGCAAAACTATTTTAGACCGACAAAAACAAGACATTCAAGGACTCACTTTGGCTTTTCAGAAACTGGGATGAACTTTTTTAACGTTTTCTGTCATTTCATAATGCAGGCAGGTAATTTGATACTGAAAAACAATATTTATTTGCAGTATCTCAGAGAAGGGCATCTTATAATTCCTGATTTTATCTCAAACATTGAATGGGCCATAGAATGCTTTTTGGGGTTTTCCCTTAACTGTAGCGTGTTATATAGGTTTTTTTTATATAGGGAGTTTTTCTCCCACACTGAACTGCCTCCATTGGACTCCTTTGTTTACTTCCTGAACATAATGACATCACTATGTTACACTTGCGCTTCTTTTGGCTTGCTCTCTAACAAATGATACGTGATAAGCCAAGGGGCGGGACATCTCCAAGCATTTGACCAATCACAACAGAGCCGGCCAGCTAACCAATCACAGCAGACTGGACTCTGGTTTCAGACAGAGGGTGAAAAGAGGTGCTGCAGCACAGGCAGTATGAAGGTTTCTCATTTCTATAATTCCCCTCCTCGACTCCTATCCTCGACTCCTAGTCCCGCCCACAGGAGATGCGAGCAGAGGAGTCGAGGAGGGGAACCGAGGAGAGAGGAGGGGAAGCAGCAGGCGGTTAGAGAAATGAGAACTCCTCTCCTCTGAGCGGTCATTTTAAAGAGACGTCCGTTAATGATGACAGGAGGCACAGCACAGAACTGTGTTCAACTTATAGATTTACTTTTAATTCATTCACAGTGCGGTATAATGACACAATAACAGGCTACAGATGTGGACATCTATACACACACACACATATATTTATGATTCTGAAATTGTATATATATATTTATATAAATATATATATACAATTTCAGAATCAAACAAGTATAGAGAGCAGAGCACTCTCATAATAACGTAACACTAGAGACTGGATATACCCCCCCTCTGTGTTCGCTACAATGGGGAACTGAAATTACGGGCCAAAAGTTGTATTTACAAGTATTAAAAGTAAGCATATAATCAGGCTACAGCCGTTGTGTATTTTATTTTGTGAAGCACTAAATGGTTTTAGAAAAATATCTCTTTGTTTGTAGATATCTACTAATCTAAAGCAAATAAAGAGAGTAGCCTGTTATACTGAGTGATATATATGATACACACTGCTCTGCTTTCTGCACGGACCTCACAGCTGTTCTCTCTGTAAACATCGCGTCACGATGAAAGCAGTTACTAAAATAATATCCAGGGGATGCATGCAGAGCTGTCATTGGCTGAGATCAGTCCGGCCGTGCGTCACGTCTCTTTTAAACATCTCTGTTGCCGGAAATACATCCGTGGAGGACCCATTAGTGTATCCTCGATCATAGCTCCTCCAGAGAGCCTCCTCGATGCTCGGTCCTCAATGTGCATTTAGAGAAATTAGATGTCCTTCAACATGGCGCGCTGAAATCCATTTCCGGGTCACTACCGGAGGAGTCGAGGAGGGGAAATTAGAGAATTGAGAAACCTTCTATGAGAAAAATAAAGAGCTTTTTGAACATTAAAGTGCTGAAGATGAGCACAACATGGCCCCTTTACATTCTTGAGGAAAGTTTGTTTTTCTTGCGTGCCTCCACAGTGAACAATTTATCAAGAAATTGAGATTATTCTTGATTATTTAGTGTTTAAATCCCAGGAGTCAACATGTCAAAGTGTCTTTGGGAAAGATACTAAACCCCAAATTGGCAGTATGAGAAAAATAAATGTGTTTTAAATCAGTATTGAATACCTGGATCATAAATATGTACCCAGACAACATGCAGCCTGTATCACCATAGAAACACATTAATTTTGACTGATGACTAAAAAAAAAATCCAAAGTTTATTATCATATTTGGAGACAGAAATGAAAGCTGATGTTCTGCAGGTCAGCCTGGCTTCAAACCTCAGCTGATGTCCGTCTTATTTACGTCTCAGATGGGCTCAATAAAGGGGTAACATGTAATATAAGTGCCAACAATATCTGTCCAGTTTTGCAGCACTGGGTCAAAATATGTTCCATCTGAGAGTGGATGGATGGAGAGCCGGGGCCCAGCTGTTCCCTTTAATGTGTCCTGAAACGCTCATCATTAAAAACATTTTTGGACGTATCGTTGGGAATAAATCTGCAGAGAAAAACAAAACTCTCAAAAAGCAATTTAGAAAGCATTGTACATGGGTACATGAGTGTGTTTTCCCCCTGAGTTATTAGTGGACATGTCCCTAAAAACACTGAAATCTGAATTGTAATGCTGGTGTTTTTTCCATTAGCAGAAGCCTAAACCTAATGTCGGTCCAATGTTTTTGTGAATATTTTAAACAACTGTTAATGAAAAAAATAGGTAAATTAGGATATGTTTTAAGCACTGCCAGTCTCTGACATGCAGTACAAGTGAATCTGGGTTATTTTTGGGTGGGTGAGTGCGTGTGTCCTCTCTTTACTTCCCTCCCAAACAGTCCACCTGTCACTCAGACTCCTCAGGTCCTCCCCTCTTCCCTCCCCCTCCTCCTCCTCCCTCTTCGGCCTCCATTGGAGACGTTTCCAAAGCCTTTTCTTCCTCCTCACCCCATCCCTCAGCCCCTCCCCCCTCTCTCCCTTTAACTCTGCCCTCACTCCCCCTGTGAGTAAAAAAAATGAATTTCCACTCAGAAATAATTCACCTCAGCTGCAGAGAGGAGTCGAGCACTTTCTGCAGGATGTGGAGTGTGTGTGTGAGTGTTGAGGTAATGAGGTAATGAGGGGTGTGTGTGTGTGTGTGTTGAGGGGTGTGTGTGTGTTGTGGTGAGTGCAGCCTCTCAGTGAGCAGCTGGATCAGCAGCAGTCCCTCGGCACCGCAGGTGAGTTCAACTTTTCTTCACATATTTTATCCTGCAAGTGTTTTCAGATCGTTTTTTTTGTTGTTTTGATTACTTAAATGTACTTTAAACGCAAATACAAGAACAAATAGAAACTAGCACCCATGCTCCTAATGTCATTTATTTGTTTAACATGGCAACGGTTTTTAATATGAATGAATACACTCTAACACTGCGTACTCTTCTGTCACACATTTTTATTTTTTAAACCAAATTGGGAATTAGATTCAGCTCCTAGCTTTTTAAGTAACTGTATATACATTTAGTTTAAATACATAAATATTATTAGTATTATTAATTGCAATATTTTGTGTGATATCTACTGCTTCATTTTATAGATTTATAGATTTTTCTATTAATAATAAAACTGTTTAAAATAAGTAAAAATTAATATATTTTTGTTTATTTCTTGTTATTTTTTTCTCTGTACTGTTATTTTTTAAGTTAATATGTTATTATTATTATTATTATTATGTGTTAATTCTACTCATTAGTGTATTGTACATATGTTATTTTATTGGTACTATTACTGTTGTTTGAGATTATATATTTCATTTTGTTTATTATTTTTTGTTGTGATGTTTTTGTCTATACTGATATTTTTTAAACAATAATAAAATGTATAATTCTTTGTATTTTTTGTTTTTTATTCATATTTAGTGGTATATCTACGCATACTTTTTATTTATTATATAAGTTCTATTACTGTTCTTTTTGTTTTTGTTTGTTTTACTACTTATTATTTTTATTATTTTGGGTTGGCAGGCATTAACAAAAGGACAAAATGCAGACTTCTGTGTTTGTATTTTGCCCTGAATGGATTACAAAGCTGTTGAAAAAATTAATTTGATAAAACATGGAAGGTTTTCATTATGAATAAATAATACACATATCCCGTTAACTATCACATACGACAAAAAGAGCAGCAAAAACCTGAAAAATATTGAAATTATTAATTATTAATTACATTTTCTGTCATTTAACTAATCTTTTAATGGCCTTACTGTTGCTCCTTTCATTATGAGACTATCATCAGTAATAATCCTAAATAAAAATAAGCAAATGTGTTTTATAATATGTTATGTACTGAATTTCATTTCTGCTCATTAGGATGTTGCATGAAGTTTTGTCGATGCCTTCACTGTCAGGAGTCATGAGGACACTTTTCTGTCTCCTTCTCTGGAAGAAAACAGCAGGTAAGAACATCAGTGGGACCCGACAAAATGATCTTTGCAGATGTAAGGCAACCAGTCCTTAGTTGTTATTGCCTTGAGAGGCATGACGATCCATTTTTCAGTAATCCAAAAATATTTCCTTTTCCCTTTTGCCAGGATAATATTTGGTTCCTCAAAACACAAAGTACATTGTTTGTTAAGGGAAACTAAAACTGACCAGGAAGAAAACGTCAGTGCTGTTCGACCTTTAGGAAAACATGTTGAAGGGTTAGTCCACTTCAGACTCTTTTGGCCTTTATGAGTAGAACAATATGAACCTGGTCAAACCCTTTTTTCCGCATCTGTTCTTGAATCATAAACACAGAAGAGAAACCATTTGATTAGTGCAGGAATAAGTCCGAAAGTCCAGAAATGAGTCAGCATTTTAGCACTTTTGGTTCCCCTATGTAAAATAACGTGAGTGGTTAACACACTGAAGAGATTCACACGTTTAGTTCGACGACAAAAAATACACATTCAATTCAATTCTATGTTTCTTTAAAAACGGCGGTTGCTAACAAGTGTCTAAATGAGACGACTAAAAGTCATCACGCCCAACATTAGCCGCCTTTAGCTTAGCGGTGGTGACGTGAAGTCATGTGACCGTGCTGTAGTTCCTTTACGGCCCGTCCACACAGCGGCGTGCGTTGAAGCTTGCTCCATTTTTTGGAATATGAGGAAATGACCTGCGGTGTGTCTCTCCCAGCATACACGCGGTTTGATTGGCTGCATAAACGGGATTTGATTGGCTGACGCTTCCACCGAAGCTTCAGAAGCTTCAAAAGTTGAATATTGCTCAACTTTTGCAGCCTGAAACGCCAGCAAAGCTCCGCTCTGCTTCCCACAATGCAGTTCGGCGAAAAGTGAGGCAAAGTGACGTCACCCCATTCAAAGTGAATGGGCAGAAGCGTTGGAAGATTTTTTTAACGCTGCTGTGTGGACGTACCGTTATAGCCCAAAATTAGCCGCTTTTAGCTCAGCGGTGGTGACGTGAAGTCATGTGACCGTGCTGTAGTTCATTTATAGCCCAACATTAGCCACCTTTAGCTTAGCGCTGGTGACGTGAAGTCATGTGACCGTGCTGTAGTTCCTTTATAGTCCAACATTAGCCACCTTTAGCTTAGCGGTGGTGACGTGAAGTCATGTGACCGTGCTCTAGTTCCTTTATAGCCCAACATTAGCTTTCTACTTCTGGTAAAAGGTTCTGTTACCAATTACCTGATTCTGATTCTGATTCAAAGTGGTGCTAATACGTGGAGATTATCCTGCTGATCAAAACGGATAATAAATGTTTGTTCGCGACAGAGATCATTTAATTTGAGCAATATTCCAATCCAATGGAAGAATCCCAATGACGTTTTGTCGAGGCAGCCCTTGCAATGCCAACCTCAATCTGGCCTACAAAAATACGTCATCCCTGCACCAAAGTCACCCCTCTACTGTTTCTTAGCTCAAAGTGTGCAGGTGCGCTGCTCGGTGGGGCCGGTGGGAGCGCTGCACCCGGTTCAGGGTCGGCTGGAGCGGTTCGATGCCGGGCCGGGCTGCGCTGCCAGAGAACGAGGAGACAAAGAAACTCATGTCATCGCAGTGGGGAGAGTTACAAACAGCCCAGAAAACAAGGTAGTTTTTGTACAACTGTTCTTCCTTCTAACTCCATTATAACTTTACATATAATTACTGTTGGGAAAATACTGAATGTACTCTTCCAATATCAGAGTCCACATGATAACAAAGGTTGTGTACATGACAGGATGTATGATTACCTAGAAGAGCATCAGGACTGTTTTAGGTATATGATAGCCATGTGATTATTTTTAGGAAAAAGTCAGAATTTTTTGATTGTGAGAAAAAGTTTTTGTGAAAAAGTAAGAATTTCGAGAAAAAGTCTTTTTTTTTTAGAAAAACGTCTGAATTTTTAGGAAAAAGTCTGAATTTTTAGATTTTAAGAAAAAAGCCAACATTTTGAGAAACAACTCAATGTTTTGTACATGACAGGATGTATGAAAACAAGAACTGGTATTCCTCCACCTTGTGACTGTGTAACTCCCTCTCTTGGATATCAGCATGTGAAGGACACTGTTCAGGAACTAGTTGATGCTCTGTATGTGATGACTACTTCCATTCTTGAGAGGATCATAAATCCATGGATCCTGATATTGAAGCTCAAGCCGATGACCAGTGATACTTCTCTAACACGTCCTGTTCCACATCACAGCCTTTCCTCGTCTGTCTGCAGGTGACGGTGTTGCTGAAGCCTTTTTCTCTGACGCCTCTCAGAAACATCCACCTGCTGCTCAGCTCCAAGATACCAGTCAGCTGGTGGCTGGAGGCCGAGAAACTCCCCCCCAACGTCCCTGTACTGGTGCAGGTCAGTCCATCATATTCTCACTGTCTTTTAATCTCAACTACCTATAGAGTGGTGCAGGAATGAGTCCCAAAACCCAGAAATTAGTCAGTATTTTAGCACTTTTTGGTCCCTTGGCTAGAAGTAGATGTGTTTTTTTTAAGTGTGTTTTTGGTTGTTAGCCTGAAATAAGGTCTGAGGTTAACACAAGTCGAAAAGATTTTAACGTTTTGCTCTGCGACATATCGGCTGACCCCTGAGTGAGACCATTAATCGTCATCACGCCAAACATTAGCTTTTCAAGTTTTGTTCTACGACATAAAATACCTCGGTAAATACCCAACTGGTGAATTAAAAAAGCTTTTAATGTGTAAAAAACATCAGCAATGAGTCTCACAATGTTAACACAAAGTAGCAAACCGCAAACAAGCTTTTTACTTATGGAGATTTTACACTTTAACAGTTAAAAGTGGTTTTATTATACACAGAGCTTATTTTTCTACAATATTGCAAAATCCAATGGAAAAATTGGCTTTTCAACAAGAACCCTTGAGATGCTAACATCTGGGTTAGTCTACACACAATTATCCTTGCACCACTTTTAAATATATTTGAATGCTTACCTTTTTTATGTTGCATCAACTTCTTTGCCCTTGTATTCTAGGTATCTTCAAACTCCAGTGTGCATACCAGCACGCTGCATTTAAATGTCCAGACGGTGCATTCACTGCCTTTTCATCCTCGTGCTCTGCACCGCTGGGCTCTGAAACACCACGGAAACCTGTCCTCTTTCACACACACAACTCACGGAAACCGAGTCTACGTCCCACTGGGAGAAGGTGAGCCGCCAACAAACCAAATATAATAGTGAGGACAGATGATAAGCTAACAGCGTTTAATCTTTTTCACAATGAAATCTCAGTCTTTAGTCAGGTTTAATGCAAATTTATAGAACAAATCCTGTGCAATTAAAAGGGAAAATGGAGATTTGCTTGCCAAAAACATTGAAGATAGTTTGACAAACAGGTTTCTTAGATATCTTTGTGAAGAATTAGAAAGTAAACATTTGTTATAGTTGTGTCAATCTTCTTATCTAACCCTCTACAAACGCATATCCCATATTTATAGAAACAATCCAGTGCAATTAAAAGGGAACATAGAGATAACATAGCTTGCCCAAAACATTGAATATAGTTTGACATATTTGAAACAGGTTTCCTATATTTCTTTGTGAAGAATTTGATGAGGTCTAAAACAATTTTATAACTTTGTCTTTTTATCAAACCCTCTACAGACGCATTCCCCTACATTTCAAACTATTGTTAAACACAGGCTTCTGTGCACTGGTTGATACTCTTATCTCCACTTTTACCAGACATAAATAGATATTGAAGTGACTGTTATTTTGTATATATTGATTGTTGTGTTTTTATCTTAATGTGTGCATATGTATAAATGTCTCTGTTGATTGTGTGTATATGTAGGATATACATATTGTATACATATTTTTATATATATTTGTATTTTTGTATAAGGGATTGTAGGAAACGGTATTTCGATCTCTCTGTCTGTACACACAAACTGAAAGATTGACAATATAGTTGACTTTGACTTTGATAACACCAGGCTCAGGTCGGACGGATTGCAGAGAAAGATCTTGCTTCACCTTCCCTCTCATCTTGTTTCTGTGTTACAGACCCCAGCCTCCCTGCTGTGTGCCAGTTGCAGTCCGTGTTCCTCTCCAACAGCTACGTGACCTCTGACCTGCAGACACAGGAAGTGCAGGGCTGCAGTGACGCTCCATCAGGAGAGATCAGTGTTGAAGTCCATGTGATCAAACTCCATTCAGCGGGATCAGGACTCTGTGGGTGAGGACATGCATCCTCTGAAAGTCCTGTATGACTGTTATACAGCATGCAAAGTTATGGCCCAATTCCAAACCGCCCCCTACACCCTACCCCTACACACTACCCCTCCGTTTGTGCGTTCACGCAGAGGGTCCGCCACATTAAGTGCTGTTCCAAACCAACAAGTGTTGAGGGGGAGTGGGTTATGTTTACAAATTGTTCCTGCAAACATTAACTGATAACCTGCACAACAAGAGACATTTAATATGGAGGCGTGTGGCGCAGTGGATAGAGCGTTGGTGTTCGGATCAAGGGAGCACAGGTTCAAACCCCACTGCAGTCAGCATGTCGTTGTGTCCCTGAGACACTTCACCCCGAATTGCTCCTGTGGGGATTGTCCACAGTATTGAGTATGTAAGTCGCTTTGGATAAAAGCGTCTAACAAGTAACATGTAATGTAATGTAATATCATCATACAGATTTTAAAACAAAAAGTGGTTTACAAAATAGAAACACCAATAGCCGCTTTCACACCAAGTACTTTGCTGCCATTGTATTTCCCAGCACTTAGTACCCAGCACTTAGTTCCCCCATGGAACTAATACCCCTTTCACACCAACGGTGTTTCAGGGCCGGTTCGGTGCTGGTGCTTGAAAAGCACCGGGTTTTCCTGTTCACACCGCAGCGGAGCAGCGTCATAGCTCCGGAATCCGGTTCGTTTCGAGCACCAAAAAGTTGTCCGTCTAGAAGCAAGAACCGCATACGTCACGCTTACGTCGGAGGGGGGCGAGATTAACCTGAGCTAACACTTAAGGCGAGTACGGCAAATAAAAGTTGTAACAAGCAGTAGTGCTGAGCAAAGTGACTAGAACGCAACCACACACTTGTTAAAAAAAACACACTTTATAAAGTCAGGCAACACTAACCAGGCTTCGTGTGATTCTGTTTATTTGTACCTTACTTTGACCATCCGTTCTCTGTTATTGATCATTGTGGAGAGCAGGCAGACGTTTTGTGTGTTATTATAGCAGCTATCGGATGGAATCAATACATGGGCTGCACAGGTTGTCATGTCCGACTATCACAAGTAGAATCATAATGAAAAATACGTCGGTAAAAAGTGCCTGTAGAATACTGCTTAGCAAGTAGTCAGTTTAGCTTCGGTTGCTATGCTAACATCACCCATGTTATACCAGAGAAACTTTCATAACAGCGTTGTGATGCCAAACAGCGTCAATTCAGACTGACACCAAACAGCGTCAATTCAGACTGACACACATTCACTTAAGGGGAACTGGGGATATGTATCAGCTGCTTGTGTGACAGTCAGACAGTGAATACTTTAGAGCCGTGTGAGCTAACCCGGAGCTAACGGGAGAATACACTCCCGTTGAAGAGCAGCCGGCCAGCACTGCAGCGGTCGGTAAATGCCGCTGAAACACATTAATAAACAATGAACCACGGCACTCTGGAGAAAAGTATAAGGTTGGAGAAGTCGTTATTTAATTTAATCTGGCTTCGTATGATTAAAAGCAACGCAGTCCCCGGCCCGTTGTTGTGAGGTGAGCTCCGGCGTTGGGGAGAAACTCAGCGACGTAAACTGTGACGTCATGACGCAGCAGCGGCAGCACCAGTCGGGCTCTGAGCGGTGTGAAAAGAGCCGGCGCTAAACCGAAGAACCGGTTCTGAACCAGAAAAGCTCTAGCACGGAGCTTGAACCGGAGTTGCGTTGGTGTGAAAGGGGCATGAGAGCCGATCGCGTTCACACCGGAATAAGTTCCTGAGGGAAGATTAGGCAAATGAAGCCGCTGACGTCACTTCTTCTTCTTCTGCTTTGGGTTTACTGGCAGGCCGCAAACAACTTCACGGCGTATACTGCCACCCGAAGTCCCCGGAGTTGGGGACTGGCTTCAGTAGAAGCTGCTGGGACTCCCAGCAGCTTCTACTGAAGCCTTCTGAGTAAATCGCCAGAACGCCGACACCTCCTCATCACTCCACCGCTCCCATGTTTTTTTTTGTGTTGCCATAAGTTCAATGTCAATCAATCAATCAATCAATCAATGTTTATTTATATAGCCCAATATCACAAATGTTACATTTGTCTCAGTGGACTTCACAGTTTGTACAGAATATCAGTATGACAATACGACACCCTCTGTCCTTAGACCCTCACATCGTACAAGGAAAAACTTCCAGAGAAAAACCCACAGTTTAAAGGGGAACATGGGAGAAACCTCAGGGAGAGCAACAGAGGAGGGATCCCTCTCCCAGGACGGACAGACGTGCAATAGATGCCGTGTGTAAATTGAAAAGATAATACATTTGCAACATAGGTAGTCCAAATGTTTGGAAATGCATGTGTCTATAAGTTAGTCTCTCTCCGTTGGTGCGCGGGGCTAATGCTAATGCTAATAATGCTAATGCCAGCAAATACAATGGCGGTGAGTTTTACGGGGCGTGGTTTGCAATTCACCCAGCCAATCAGAAATTGGAACTTTTTTCTCCCCAGGATAGTCCCACCTCTCTAGCAGGGACTGAAAAGGGGGTAAAAGTTCTCATGAACTAAGTTCTCTTTTTGGTGTGAACGCAAAATTCCAGGCACTATCGGAACTAAACGGGAAAAGTACTCCGGTGTGAAATCGCCTATTAAAGATTTTTTGAGTTTCCTTTTTTGTATTTATCCAAAAGATGCTGATTTGAAAACATTGTTACGAAAATGTACGGCATTTCCTGTTTCTGCCAGAGAGAAGGGAGTTTGTCCCAAAAGCCTCGTTCAGCTGCGAGTGTGACTACAGACGGAGTTCACTTCATCACTGAGGGGGGGAGTGGGTAGGGTGTGGTTTGGAATTGGTCCATAATCTGTGTCTCTCTGTGTTCTTCAGCTCTCTCCAGGTGGAGGTGATTGTCTCTCTTCTGCCACTGAAAGTCGACTCAAGGACGCAGACGGTTGTTCTGATTCTCAGCAGCTCGGTGCCCGTCAACTGGGCGATTCACGCGCCTGGTGTCCGGGGTCAAGTTTCTGTTTATGTAAGGGACACATCTCTCCTTTGTATCTGAATTTGTCATCAAATTTAAATATCCAACAAGTATATTTCATCAGACAACAATCAGATCTGCAGCCACAGCTTCCCTCTAAGAAAGCACATTTTTGTATCGACTTGTAGCTCAAAACTAGACGCGCCAGAGAGGAAGCAGGGCTTATCGCAATAAAGATAGATGACTATCCTTTTGCGATACAGTGTCACGTTAATTTATTTGCATCATTCAACTACAGGAGTGTAAAAACCCTTGCAAATCACCCACATTTTCTGTTTTTGTAAGGGCCACCTTGTGTCAATATAGCTTAAAGGTCACCTATTATGCAAAATCCACTTCTTCATGTCTCTTCTACATCAACATGTGTCCCCTCTTCTTCATGTCTCTTCTACATCAACATGTGTCCCCTCTTCTTCATGTCTCTTCTACATCAACATGTGTCCCCTCTTCTTCATGTCTCTTCTACATCAACATGTGTCCCCTCTTCTTCATGTCTCTTCTACATCAACATGTGTCCCCTCTTCCTCATGTCTCTTCTACATCAACATGTGTCCCCTCTTCTTCATGTCTCTTCTACATCACCATGTGTCCCCTCTGTGTAAAGAGACTCTGAAAGTTTCAGGAACAAAGATTCTCTCTCTTTTTGTCCTGATCCATTTATATAAAAACCTGTCTGAAAATGAGCTGATCAGATTTTGGCCACTTTATGATGTCATAACGATGTTTTGTCTTGTGTACCACCTTATCACCTGAATCTCCTCCTAGAGCACCATATCTCTCAGAGGGGCGTGGGGAGGGGCTCCTTATTTTCATCTAAAGTAACAGACAGAGAATCAGCACTTTTGAAACAGGGCTGAACGAGGGAGGGGATTATGGGATGCTGCAATGATCTGTTTGGTGTTTGGAGACAAACACTTCAGAGACTTGTTTTTATATATCTGAGACCTATAATATATTGATGAAAAAGAGTATAATAGGGAACCTTTAACAACATCACTACAGAACCTACAAAGTTAAGCCACAAACGGATTCAGATAAAGGTCTGAATGCAAACTTGGCAAGTATCCTGTTCTGTCTTTTTCCTTGATTGTACCTCATAACGTACTCGTCATGATGTCTGTGTATCTGTAGTCCTCCCACAGTGTATCCCCGCCCTACCCAGCGGAGCCGGACCTGACCCTGTCCATCACCCTGACCTCTGACCTCTCCTCAGTACCGGACCTTCTGGTTTGGACCCGTGAGAGTGGACACCCCCATGTGACCTCGTACACTGAGGCTGACCTGGCCAATCGCTTTGTGATCCAGCTGTCTGGGGGCGGGACAGGTCAGGACCGCTGTCTGTCTCTTGTTTCCATCATTGTGTGAGTGACCTGAGTGATTCGATTTAATATTGAAATTCACCCCTAGTAAAGTTATTTTATGTGCAGAAGTATTTGCTTGGTAATGAGTGGTGCAGGAATGAGTCATAAACCCAGGAATTTGTTAGCATTTAAGCACTTCCTGTTCCCTCGTCTAAAAGTCAATGGTTTCTTGAATGTGTTTTTGGTTTAAATAAGGTCTGAGGTTAACACAAGCTGAAGAGATTTTAACGTTTTGTTCTATGACATATCAGCCCCAAAGGTGAATTCCTGAAGCTTCTATGTGTCTTAAAAAAGGCGGTTGCTAACGAATGGCTAGATGAGACTATTAATCGCCATCACGCCCAAAATTAGCCACCTTTAGCTTAGCGGTGGTGACGTGAAGTCATGTGACCGTGCTGTAGTTCCTTTATAGTCCAACATTAGCCGCCTTTAGCTTAGCGGTGCTAACGTGAAGTCATGTGACCGTGCTGTAGTTCCTTTATAGCCCAACGTTAGCCACCTTTAGCTTAGCGGTGGAGACGTGAAGTCATGAGACCGTGCTGTAGTTCCTTTATAGCCCAATGTTAGCCGCCTTTAGCTTAGCGGTGGTGACGTGAAGTCATGTGACCGTGCTGTAGTTCCTTTATAGTCTAACATTAGCCGCCTTTAGCTTAGCGGTGGTAACGTGAAGTCATGTGACCGTGCTGTAGTTCCTTTATAGCCCAACGTTAGCCACCTTTAGCTTAGCGGGGGAGACGTGAAGTCATGAGACCGTGCTGTAGTTCCTTTATAGCCCAATGTTAGCCGCCTTTAGCTTAGCGGTGCTAACGTGAAGTCATGAGACCGTGCTGTAGTTCCTTTATAGTCTAACATTAGCCGCCTTTAGCTTAGCGGTGGTGACGTGAAGTCATGTGACCGTGCTGTAGTTCCTTTATAGCCCAACATTAGCCACCTTTAGCTTAGCGCTGGTGACATGAAGTCATGTGACCGTGCTGTAGTTCCTTTATAGCCCAACATTAGCCACCTTTAGCTTAGCGCTGGTGACATGAAGTCATGTGACCGTGCTGTAGTTCCTTTATAGCCCAACCTTAGCCACCTTTAGCTTAGCGGTGGTGACATGAAGTCATGTGACCGTGCTGTAGTTCCTTTATAGCCCAACATTAGCCACCTTTAGCTTAGCGCTGGTGACATGAAGTCATGTGACCGTGCTGTAGTTCCTTTATAGCAGTAGCTTTTTACTTCAAAAATTATAAAAGCAGTGCTAATGTGTGGAAATTATCCTGCTGTACAAAACAAAAGTATCATAAACGTTTGTTTCCAACAGATCCTATTTTCTGAAATAATCAAAAATCAAAAGTTAAAATCCAATTGGCTTTTTGTCGAAGAAACCCTGGAGATGCTAACCTTCAGTTCGGCCGTCATGAATACATCCTCCCTGCACCATATTATTCTGTTTACCTTCCTTTTGGATGAGAAATGAAAGCGGAATATTTCCATCGTAAGTGTTGAATGGAAGGTGTTGAAGTGTACGTGTGAGTATACAGTATAGTGTCTCCTCTCTGTCTCCTCTCAGATGTGGTGGCAGTGAAGAGTCCGGTCGGTGCGAAGCCTCGCTGGGCGGAGGAGCGCCAGCTGAGGCAGTGGCTTAGCGGAGGAGGGAGAACGGGAGGAGGACGGGAGATTTTCACGGTGCAGTGTGAGGACGGACGCCTCAGCGTGAGCGTAGACCAACACATCCTGCAGGTCTTCATACCTCAGTATCAGATCCAGTGTTTGATGTGCACAGTTCTTAAAGGTCACCTATTATGCAAAATCCTCTTCTTCATGTCTCTTCTACATCAACATGTGTCCCCTCTGTGGAAAGAGACTCTGAAAGTTTCAGGAAAAAAGATTCTCTCTCTTTTTGTCCTGATCCATTTATATAAAAACCTGTCTGAAAATGAGCTGATCAGATTTTGGCCACTTTGTGATGTCATAACGATGTTTTGGCTTGTGTAACCATTACGGTACGTCTACACAGCAGCGTTAAAAAAATCTTGAAACGCTTCTGCCCATTCACTTTGAATGGGGTGACGTCACTTTCCCTCACTTTTCGCCGAAATGCATTGTGGGCAGGCGAGCGGAGATTTTGAGGATTTTGAGGATTCAAAGTTGAACAATGTTCAACTTTTGAAGCTGAGGTGGAAGCGGCAGCCAATCAAATCCCGTGTACGCAAATCTGACAGTTCAAGCTCTAGCCAATCAAACGGCGTGTATGCTGGGAGAGACATACCGCAGGTCATTTCCTCATATTCCAAAAAATGGAGGAGAAATTAGCGGTAGCGAATCAATCACCCGGTGCTTTATGACCAGACCTACCGGGATATAAACCGGAGGAGCCAGGCATGGAGGGAGGTGGCAGAGACAGTGGTATGTTTTCGCCTGTTTTGGGGAGTTTATATCCAGTTTACTTCGGGCTTTTTTGCTTCGTATGTCGCGGGCGGGAGATTCATGTGATTGGTTGTTCGCAAAAAATCCCCAAGCTTCAGATACGCCCACCTCCAAGATTTTTTTAACGCTGCTGTGTAGACGTTCCGTTAGCCAATCACCAACCAAGGTAACCCCCCCCCCCCCCCACCTTATCACCTGAATCTCCTCCTAGAGCACCATTGTGTTCTTTTTAACCAAATATCTCTCAGAGGGGCGTGGGGAGGGGCTCCTTATTTTCATCTAAAGTAACAGACAGAGAATCAGCACTTTGGAAACAGGGCTGAAACAGAGGGGATTATGGGATGCTGCAATGATCTGTTTGGTGTTTCAGCCAATCAGAGACAGGTTTTGTATATATCTGAGACCTATAATATATTGATGAAAAACAGTATAATAGGGGACCTTTAAAGACAGAAACTGGCTACCACAAATTAAGCTATCCAGTGGTTTCATAACAACCATAGTGCAAACATATGAATACTTTTTTGCTAGTAACATTTTGTAATCTTGTACTTAAATCATATTTAAAGCTTTTCTAACCCATATTTATCATACTAACAATCAATCAAATGCCTACCCACCCTACCTTGAAGTACATTTTAGCACTAGGGAGCGTTTTAGTGTCTATTAACTCATTGGTTTTCAGCCTATTTGATTTACAATTTTGGTTAACATTCAATATACAATTACCAACCTTGTTACCAGCGAGCTGCAGCCTTAAGGGATGGGAAGGGAAGCCAAAAGGAAGAGCCAAGAACTGCAACGGCCCAACTTTTCCACACAAGTAAACTGGCTTGTTAGTTTGCTTGTTGTACGAAAAGACTCTCCAAGGAGTCAGCTGTTAATTTTTTCCAGTTATTACGCCTATACCCAAACAAGTCTATTTTTCTCAAGCCATCTCACATGAACTAAAGATGCATCTTGCAAACTAAGCTAGCTAGGTAGGTCTAGCATTAGTTGGTAACTACGTTTGTTATAACACCTCCACTAATGCACTGAAAACAGCAACTTTATATACAGAAATACACAAATTGAGAATCAGCATTGTTAAAATGGTCATTTCTAGCACTAGTAGTTATTGTTAAACTTGAGAAAGGATGTGAAATGTGCAGGGGCTCGCCTAAAGGCCCAGACACACCGGGCCGATTACGGCCGTCGATAGATGTCTGGCCGTTGATGAGCGTTGTGTCGCCCTACTCAGATTGGTGTGTCCCACACCGTTGTGTCTTTTCGGCGGTGCCGACACCTTTTTGGCCGAAAACCAAATCACTCTGATTGGCTGTTCAGCTAGCGAATCAGTGCATGAGAAGCGAAACGGAAGTGAGGGACCCAAACAAACGATTAAGAAGGCACACACAGACGGCTATTCTTTTTCATTTTCATCTCAGCTGGACACAAGAGTTTATTTTTCATCATAGCGATCTGGAATGAAGAAACCGAAGACCAACGCACACGCTATTTGTTGTTTGTTTATATCACGCAGTCTGTTCTTCTTCTCTCGGTGTATCACGCAGTCTGTCTTCCGGTTGCCTCTTTTGAATGACGAATACACACTACCGCCGCCTGCTGGTAAGGATAGTTATTGCCACTCACGCATGCGCAGTTCGTACGTGCTACTTGGCCGTCGGCTGAAGTCTTTGCGGTGTGTTCCAGTGCGACACATGGCCAAGACGCAGGAGACGTGAGGCGACACAACAATTGTGTTCCGTCGGGACGTGTTCTTTGGTGTCAGTTTGGTGTGTCTGGGCCTTTATGCTGATATATTTTCTGGAACTGCCAGTGTTTTTTTAGTTAGAAATCTACACGTTTAAACCAAAGTTGGGTTATTTAATATAGAGGTAAAGTATTTAACAAAATCTATTCCAGCTGAAAGGACAGAGTCTTGCACTGTGGCACAAAATCTGACAAGGTTACAGCAGAAAAGCAATCACTTTATACAGGAAAAGACATAGGAAAAGGGAAGGTCTCAGCCAATCAAATTTTACATTACAGGCTATTCAAATGCTGGCTAGATGAGGTAACAATGCATACATGGTGATTCATTACAGGGTATTGAACATTGGTGGCTAGACAGGGGGTTAAGTAAGTATAGACATGTTAATTATAACAGGTAACATCTGCATGATAATTTGCCTGACAATGGTCGAGGCGACACCCTGTCTGTGAAAGCTTGACATTTAGTAGAAAATCAAAGTTATAGTGACCTATTTTTAATTAAATGAGACTTATGATCATATTAATTTGTAAGTTATGTCGTCTAACATCACTTCTCCTTTTCAGAGTGTGTCTGTCCCTGTGGTCGCTGTGACTCTACGAGACTCTGCATGCCAGAGTCAGTCTAACGGCAGCCACTTCCTGTTGGTGTTTCCGGTCATTTCCTGCGGGACTGAGGTTGTTTTCACAGAAAAGCCTCGAGGGGTGCAGTACAAAAACATGGTGAGAAGAAACATCATTTATAACTCTCTATAACAAATCAATCTATCTATCTATCTATCCATCTATCCATCTATCCATCTATCCATCTATCCATCTATCCATCTATCCATCTATCCATCTATCCATCTATCCATCTATCCATCTATCCATCTATCCATCTATCCATCTATCCATCTATCCATCCATCCATCCATCCATCCATCCATCTATCCATCCATCCATCCATCCATCCATCCATCCATCCATCCATCTTGTACTCAAAGGGGTTCAGAGACACAGAAGTTTAATATATGTTTTATTGGTAGTCTAATAAAGCCTAAATTCAATATATTTTCATTACATAAACCAAGATCATTACATGAACAGATCTTTTATGAGGCGGTTCGAGAAAGAGAAGACATCAGTAACAGAAACAAGGCCACATTTTCACATAATAAGTCACATAATGGACACAAAGTGGTGGTAAGTGGAAGTTTCCCGCTGTGAGACTCATGACCCAGGTCACTATGACCAGGAACAGTGGGGCGTCAAAGCCCAACAATGGGAAGTTGCACTGGGGCAAATTAATTCTCAGTGAGAGAAAATCTCGATTTTCTAAGCAGGAAATTGGAATTGCTAAGTGATTTTAGAAAAGTAATGTAAAAAGACAAAACACAGTGGCAGAAGGTGTATGGGATGAACCACTATAACAAATGTAAAAATGTATTATACTTTCCTCTATCTTGCTTTTGAGAACTCTTGCAAGAATTGCAGTAGTCCAAAGGCAATGAATTGCATTTATTGATTTGTTTATTCCACACATGGCAGTTATTTTAAAACAAAACATGTACACTTTACACAGATGTTTGTGTTGTAGCCCAAGGTGGAAAGGAGCAGGGAGAAGAAAATCTTATTTGACCTGCCCCTACTTAAAAAAAGACCAAAAAAATGAAATACATTACATTACATGTCACTTGTTAGACGCTTTTATCCAAAGCAACTTACATACTCAATACTGTGGGCAATCCCCACAGGAGCAATTTGGGGTGAAGTGTCTCAGGGACACAACGACATGCTGACTGCAGTGGGGTTTGAACCTGTGACCCCCTGATCTGAACACCAACGCACAACCCACTGCACCACACGCCTCCCAAAATAACAATAAATAGCCACAGAAAAGGAAAGCCAGGAAACTCATTTGCATATTGTCGTGTTAATGGTGGGATCATCAGTGAGTCTCAGAGGGGTCAGCGGTAGGACTTTGGCCTCAAAAAGCCGTATTTGACAGGTTACAAATCTGGAACTTTTCGTAGATTTGCTGAGTGTTGGCCCAATCTTTTCGAATGGGCCAGGAGAAAAAGCAGGAGTGTTGGGAAGGTGGTTAACGACAGTGACGCAATTCATTTAATCTAATCTGCTACTGCTACAAACAGCTGGGTGTCATCTGCATAGAAATGAGGATTCATGTTATTCAGTTCATTCTTCTGTCTCCCTCTTCTCTGTTCAGGTGTTATTATGGAGGGCCGATCGTCAGTCCATTCTCACACTCAATGAGACAGAACTGAAGTCCAGTATTCCCCTCAGCATACCTGTGAGTTATATGTGTCTTTATTCTTGTACAATAAATAAATAAGACTGCTAAACACCTTAGCTCTGTTAAGTGCCTCCATAAGCATTCATCTGTTGTCATTTTAATTATCTAAATAGTTACCATTGTAATAAACAGTATTTAATATCATCTTACTGTGCAGTATTTAATTTGACATTCTGTTTTTGTTTATATCATATTATATTTACGCGTATATAGACTTTTTGCACCATTTTTTAATATATAACTGTGTTGCTTTGTTGGAGCTGCTCGGGTCATAAGATGTTCATTGCCATTACACTGTAGCTTATGTGCATATGACATTAAAACCTTTGAATCTTGAATCTAAATCGTATCCTTTACTTATGGTATTTTCACATTTATCTTGTCATTTTACTATATTCTCAGATGTGTTTGTTGTTTTTACATTATCATTCCTGTTTGTTGATTTGTAAAGCCCTCTGAGACAAATGTGTTTTGTGATATTGGGCTATATAAATACATTTTGAATTGAATTGAATTATAACCTCCTGTTTGTCCTCTCAGTTCAGCTGTCTGGCGGGAGTTCCCCCCCTCTTCAGATCTGTTAGTGTGGATAATGTTAACTCTCCGGAGAAAAATCCTCTCCCATGGGCAACTGAGGATCAAGGACTGAGCAACGTACCAACTCAACCCAGAAACAAATCCTGGCCTGTTCTCATTTTGAAGCTTTTTGTCACCGAGAGCTACGAACAAAGGCGAATTGGCCCCTGTGTCATAACTGCAGACCAACGTGTCTATGTGGAGGTCTGTATGTGTGCGTTGTATATCACAGAACATTAGGAATGAGTCAGGAACTTCGATTTTCTATTATTCGATTCCCTAAACATCTTGATAGTTTCTTGGGAGGCGTGTGCTGCAGTGGGTTGTGCAGGTTCAAACCCCACTGCAGTCAATATGTCGTTGTGTCCCTGGGCAACACACTTCACCCCAAATTGCTCCTGTGGGGATTGCCCACAGTATTGAGTATGTAAGTCGCTTTGGATAACGGTGTCTAACAAGTGACCATACTTGCCAACCCTCCCGATTTTCGCGGGAGACTCCCGATTTCATTGCCCTCTCCCGGTTTCCTCCCGGGGTCATATTTCTCCCGCATTTCTCCCGATTTCTGACAAAATCAGATTTACTCAGGACTGTTTCCACTCGGACTTTAATACAGCTACACCATTGTTTGGTTTCCATGGTAGCGCGTCTCTTTAGTAGCGCGCGCAACTGAAAGTCTGAGAGGGTGGGGAAAATAGTCACAGAACCAGAATCGACAACTCTACCCTCTGCTCACTCCTGTCCACATATGCTCCATAAAGGATGGTGCTACAGGCCGCAAGGCAGTGCCCTTACAACTACAATAAGCATGGTAATGTTAATCTAATACAGCTCCGGCGATCCACTAGCACCCCCCCCCCGCGCGGTGGTTTTGAAATGCTCTTGTAGATGTCTGTTTTGTCAATATTGTTGTAGAATTAAGCCATGAAGAAGCCATGCCTTACATAGCTTTGGATATCTCAACTAATCAACGCTATCTAGTCTTTTTTAGTTTAACTCATCAGAAAACGTAAAGCTTCAACTCTTTGATCCATTTCCCGTCAGTATTCATGCCCAATCTTACAACTACTATGTGTCTTATTCGCTGCTGATTTGTTATCCATCTCTTCTACAGATTTCAGCCAAAGGGTCCATCATAGAAGTCGTGGAGGTGAAGTCGTGTGCGATCTCTCCTCTGTCAGACTCAAAAAAGTCTCCTTTCTGGAGCATCATAAGCGACGGCTGTTCCTCGGACCAATCACTGACCCTCACTGCAAGAACGAAAGATGAGGATGAAGAAGGAGATGGAGAACTGGAAGAGGAAAACGAAGAGATAGATGGACCGGATAAAGACCGAAATAGAGATGTCCAACAACAACTTAAAGTTAACCGAAGAGGGAGAGAAGCACCAGAACCGATAGAAAAGAAGAAAGCAATGAGAGAGGAGATACAACCCCTGAGATTTAGCTTCATCCTGAGACCAGTTTATAATAACTCTGTTCAGTTCCTCCACTGCAGCCTTCTTCTGTGTACCTCCGAGTCAAAAAGGGGGGAATCGACAAAGGAGACAGGAAATAATGACTGTGAGGATGAACAACGTATCCCTCCACTTGTGTCTAGATCAACCAGACATCAGGTACACAAACATTTACACAATACAGCTCTATTTGTATAGCACAAAACAAGTGAAGAATGGAGTATCCTGTTAAATTGATCAACAATAGTTAGATGAGAAGATAGATATCACTCTCTTGCGTGATTGCTAAAAGCTAAAACAACTAGCTGCAGAAGTGTTAAGTACCTAAATACATTTACTCAAGTACGGTACTTAAGTACAATTTTGAGTTACTTCTACTTTACCTGAATACTTCAATGTCTTGCTACTTTGTACTTCTAACCCACTTCAATAATTGTGTACCTTGAGTTACTTACTTACTTACTTACTTACTACTTTACAAATGTGGATGAATGATGTGAAATATAATCAAGTGTTAAATCAGAATTTAATTAATGTCGCTACTTTAACTATATTTTGATGATAATACTTTTCTACTTTTACTTGAGGAACATTTTGAATGCAGGACTTTTACTGTAACAGAGTATTCCTACACTCTGGTACTTCTACTTTTACTGTAGTACAAGATCTGACTACTTCTACTTGCACTCAAGTACAAGACCTGAGTACTTCTCCCACCTCTGACTAGCAGCCAGTTAGCTTAATTTAGCTTATCATATACCGAAAACGGGGAACTGCTAGCCTGTCTGTGTAACAAAAGATAACATAATCTGAATATCAGCCCCCCTGAAGTTTACTGGTTAAATTGTATCTTTATTCAAATTCTGGAGTAAAAATCAAAGTATGTGGTTTGTTAACTTACAGTCTTACAGTTAAGACAAGATGGCGGCGTTTGTATGTGTATTTTGTTACCTTTGGGCCAGGCTAGCTGTTTATTGTCTTTGCGCTAGGCGACGTTTGGCTAATCCAAGCTAACCAACTGCTACAATACAAACAATAGCAGATTACTGAATTTCCAAATTGACAAATCAGAATTAAATTCTCCATCTAGCACTGTGTAAAATCCACTATTGGTGCTTTGTAACCCTGCTCCTGCTGGTGGCATAGCACTGTAAACCATGTCAACAGAGGTGGGAAGTAGTGGAGTACCAATACTTTGTTACTTAAGTACATTTTTCTGGTATCAGTACTTTACTCCACTACTTATTTTTCTGACGACTTTTTACTTTTACTTCTTACATTTTGAACAGAAATACCTGTACTTTCTACTTCTTACATGTTGAACACAAATACCTGTACTTTCTACTTCTTACATTTTGAACACAAATACCTGTACTTTCTACTTCTTACATTTTGAACACAAATACCTGTACTTTCTACTTCTTACATGTTGAACACAAATACCTGTACTTTCTACTTCTTACATTTTGAACCCAAATACCTGTACTTTCTACTTCTCACATTTTGAACACAAATACCTGTACTTTCTACTTCTTACATGTTGAACCCAAATACCTGAACTTTCTACTTCTTACATGTTGAACACAAATACCTGTACTTTCTACTTCTTACATGTTGAACTCAAATACCTGTACTTTCTACTTCTTACATGTTGAACACAAATACCTGTACTTTCTACTTCTTACATTTCCCAAACAGGCTGGTTCCTTTAGTTTGAATGTGTGTTTGGTGGCGTGATCATTATTATTTAGAGTCATTGCGTGCCTATTGATTTGAACACGATCCGTGTATCCATCATTTCCTGGTCTTCTCTAAAGAAGAGGGACCAATGAAAACGTTGTCATGTTGCCGTTGTTCAGCATGGAAACATTCATTAGCTAACAATGACATTATTGTTCTATTAATATAAAGGGAGGTCAGGTACTCTTTAAAACAGCTGCTAGTTATGGGTACTTTTTACTTAAGTACATTTCAAAGCCCTCTTTACTTTTACTTGAGTAAAGAAGTTTAGTCAGTACTTCTACTTTCACCAGAGTATTTTTAAACACGAGTATCTGTACTTCTACTTGAGTAAAGGATGTGGGTACTTTTGCCATCTCTGCATAACACAAAGGCCTTCTCCTTCTCCTCAGTGTGAGATCAGAAACCTCTCCAGGCCGATGGTGGTCACCGTGCCCATCAGCTCACTGGCACCCAAACCTCTGCATCCTCCTGCTGGACCAACACCCAAGAATGTTTCCCCAATGACCAGTCCAGACCCCGAGCACAGCAGTGAGTATCATATCTGCTCAATTTATCAATGATACTGTTAGAGCAGGGATGTCCAAACTACGGCCCGGGGTCCAAATGCGGCCCGCGGTCCATTTTGAATCGGCCCTCAGCAAAATCAAAAAGTATAGTGTAATACGGCCCACAAATGAAACTTGTGCTTGTCTTATATTGTACTTCTTAACTATAAATGTAAACATATATTACACAGTAGTATTCATGTGTTAAAAAGACCACTTTTCAAATAAATTCAGTCAATTAAAGTTGGAAACATTTTCTAACATATCTTAGTTGATAAAAAAAAAGCCCAATGACTTATTTACAAAACAAGCTTGAAATACACCCTTCCTATTTCTCCTTATTATAATCAATCAATCAAATCAAATCATCAAACACTCACAAGCATCATTTACCTACATTTGATGATTTTGCTAACTTATAACTGAACTTATGAGGCGATACACCTCTAGTGAGTGGCCAAGCCCTTCGTATATTTTTCTGTATGTGGCCCTCGGTGAAAAAAGTTTGGTACCCCTAAAATAACTGTTGCTCTGTCTCAATTCAGATACTTTCCTACAGTAAGTACACTGCCATGAAAATTGACGATTGGCGCTGTTAGCTAGCCAGTAAAGGGTATGTTCGTGGTAGCAAGTCATTACAGACTGCCCCATCAACCCAATAAGATTAATGGTGGCTTCTTTACGACACCAAGAGTAGCTACAGTGTAGATATGGCAATGAAAAACTGAATTCACAGGCTCCTCCAACAGTGCAACATGAATATATATAGGACATAAAACAAATAAACCAGATCAAAAAGTGCAAAAAAATACAAATCAAATAGAAATAGTGCAGTCTAGTGCTGCTCAACTTTTTGTCCGTTATGAGAGCACCATTCAGGTACTGATTGTGCATTTAGCCATATGTTGCATTGGGACGCTCTTATGCACTGAACACAGCAAATGAAAGTACAAGAATACGCAGATTTAGACCAAGCACATGTCTATTGTCCATCGGTATTGTGGGCTTTCCTTTTGATTTGAATTTGTGTCTCCAGGCGCGGCCAAACAGACAGGATTGTTGATGGGCGTCGTCTTCATTGCCTTTGTTATGGGGGCCAGTCTGATGGGGGGCGTTTGGTGCATCTATTATTACACAGGTAATAAGACCAGCTTCCTCTTGTCACTGAAAAACGTTGTCAAGATATATGTATGTCCTTATTCCCGTGTCATACAATTGAATTGGACAAATGAAAAGCATCAAGAAATCCATTTAAATCAATGTCACTGCTGTTGATCATGAGTAATCTGATTTATTTACTTTGTTATTTTCCATCTGTGGATTATTAACAGACTATGTAATGATATATTTTAAAGGAAGAGAAAGTCACTTAACAGCCAACACTCGAGAAGGCCACACCATCTATAATCCACTGTCAGCAGCTGATCAGTCCTCCAGCTCCGTGTAGAGGTAAGATCTGATGAGGACGGGTATTTAAAGGTCCCATGTCATGGCCATTTCTACTGATCATAATTCCATTGTTGAGGTCTACTAAAATAAATGTATACTGTGCAATTTTCCAAACTCACATTGGTTTCTCATACAGCATCTCTGTATAGTATGTGTATTCACTCTCTGTCCTAAACGGCTTGTTGGAGCTCCTGCCCCCCCCTCCCTGTGAGCCCAGTGGCCGTCTGCGAGACAGCGAGACACAGCGAAACCCAGCCCGAAACACACACACACCCGCAGCCTGGCTGGGAGTTTGTGTGTGTGCCCAGGCTGAGTTCCGCGGTGTCTCGCTGTCTCGCCGACCCCACACCAGTGAGCCAGCTCACAGTGTCCCGCTCCTCGCAGCAGCGAGCCTCGCAACGTCCCGCCGAGTGTGTGTGTGTGTGTGAGGAAGTCCGCGCATTGGTCCAAACGTAACGGCTCAGCGGACGTAACGTAACGGCTCCGCATTGGACCAATCTGCGGAGCCGTTACGTTACGTCACTATACCCAAGAAGTCAACAATGGAAAAAGAGAAATCCCCAACGAGGCGTTCTGGGGCAGCATAGACAGGTCTTTTCTGTGTTAGAGTTTTACTCCCTACAGGGTGTACAAAGTAAAAAGTAAAAATAAATCTGGGGCTTGGACTTGACGCTCTGTTAGCCGCTACTAGCATAACACACCTGAATCTCCGACTGAGCTTTCACAGACAAGTTGCATTATGGGTAGCCAGGATTTTGACACGGAGGAAGAATGCATTGGAAAATAAGTCGTCTCCGGTTTTGTCACGTTGATTATGCAACAATAAACACTGTCCATCAGTCAGGAGTATATCACAATCCCTGTTGTTTAAATTAGACAAACCTAAATTACTCGAGAAGGTAGCTCAATTTCAAAGTTGTTGTTCAAATAAACTGTAGATGTTAGAACAGAAGATATATCAGAACTAGGGGAGCACCTGCAGATTTCATCTCCAACGATTTTGTTCTTTTATCTCTTCCTCAGGATTTCCTGCAAATCTGAGAACTAGGACAGAGGTTTCTAACAGCTTGTGTGTGTGTGTGTGTGTGTGTGTGTGTGTGTGTGTGTGTGTGTGTGTGTGTGTGTGTGTGTGTGTGTGTGTGTGTGTGTGTGTGTGTGTGTGTGTGTGTGTGTGTGTGTGTGTGTGTGTGTGTGTGTGTGTGTGTGTGTTGTGTGTGTGTGTGTGTGTGTGTGTGTGTGTGTGTGTGTGTGTGTGTGTGTGTGTGTGTGTGTGTGTGTAGCTGCTTGTGTTTGTGTGCTTACACTTCATCAAGAGGACTGCAACCATGTGAATACAGTAGAACTTACTTGTGGGAAGTTGTGAGCCATTCTGCATCAAGTATTTTCAAAAGTGGCGGTGGACATTCATCTGGATTCATCAACCTCTCACCTTTGAGTGACTCGAACAGAAACCTCATCATTGCCTTTTAGAGACGAAACACAAGGTCAGCGAGGCAAAGCTGCAGGACTCAGACGTCACTTTGTGTTCGTTGAGTTGGTGTTTGTTAGAAAAATATCACTCGTCGTCACATACAGAGCATTTGGTACAACTAGTTCCTGAACAGTGTCCTTCACATGCTGATATCCAAGAGAGGGAGTTACACAGTCACAAGATGGAGGAATAGAAAGCAGTATTCAATGTTTACTTCAGATTAGCTCCACGTCAGAAATGATCATGCTTGTCATATGTCTATCTCCATAGAGGCTGAATCATCATGTTAATCACATAGCTATCATATGCCTCAAACAGTCCTGATGCTCTTCTAGGTAATCATACATCCTGTCATGTTCACAGCTACAGTTGGGATACCTTTGTTATCATGTTACTCTGATATTGGAAGAGGACATTCAGTATTTTCCCAACAGTGTTTATACCGTCCTCCTCACTATTCGTGTTGTAACTGTGAATCAAATGGAAACTGCATTTATCTGTATGTGAATTATTTTGTGTTTTTGTGATAAACAAGATGAATTAAACGAGCTGAAACCCATGCTGACTAGTTTTGTTTTACCTTCAAATCGCATGCAACTCATATAAAACTGGAACGGCACATGTTAAGGAAAAGGAAAGATGATTTAATGTGATACGAATCCACCTCAAACATGTAATGGGATCTTCCTTGGCCAATGCTACATCTTTCCACCAATTTCTTAAGAAAATCAGGCCAGTGTAGTCTTTCCATTATTCCACTGACAAACAGTCAAACAAACCTAAAACTTAACCTCCTTGGCCGTTAAGAAAGTGAATATGTTGGGAATACGATCAAATATATGATTTCTGACCACAAAGCTGACATACATGCATCTTACACTAACATTTTGAAGTGCAATAATCACTCTTGTTTTTGCTGTTTTGGTCTCTACCAACTCCTGAAAAATACACTTAGCCGTTAAATGCTCCACAATGTTCTCCAGCTAATTGCTTAAAATTATAATGGATTCTTTCTTGGTCCATGTTACACCCTTCAACCAATTTTACAGAAAATCCGTAATCCTACTGACAAACAGTCAAACAAACCCAAACACTTAACCACCTCGGCTATGAAGGAAGATAATAGGTTGTGAATATTACATTGCATTTAGCTGACGCTTTTATCCAAAGCGACTTACAATAGTGCATTCGACCAAGAAGATACAAACTTGAAGAAAACAGAATCATATAAGTACATCAGGTTTCATTGAGCCAGAACATTTCAAGTGCTACTCAACTGGCTTTAGATAAGCCAGTCCTTTATGAGCCGCGTTCACACCAAGTACTTTCCTGTACTTAGTTCCGGCACTAAGAGCCAGAGTTGGCTGTAATAATATTACTTTTGTCGGTAACGGAGTAGTGTAACGCGTTACTTTTATAATTCAGTAATCACACTACAGTTACTAACATTGCCCCGACACGCGTTACTTCGTTACTTTTATAAAAATCAGTCATAATCACACTGACAGACAAGAGGGGTTTCCGCCGCAGGTTTATATGTACGTAATCTGCGCGACTTGCGCGTCCACATCTCCACGTGCAGTGCTGCATAAACATGGCTGAGTCAGCGATAACTTTCGAGGGGTGGAGGTATGCCCATTATTTTGAGTTCGTCCGAAGAATAGACAGGAATGTGACGGTGAGGTGCAAACTGTGTCCAGGCCAGAAGCTGTTATCCACTGCTGTGAACACCACGTCAAACCTCAACAAACACCTGCAAAGAACACATGCTAAGGTGAAGCTAATAGCTAAGGACCGGACCCCCGAACCCAGAGTGAGGATGTTGTGAGTGCGCCGCCGCAGACTCCGAAGCGGCACAAATTAGAATTTGGAGGACCGGTAACCAAAGCAGAGATGGACAGGCTTGTAGCATCCTTCATAGTAGAGGTAATGTTGCCCATTTGCACAGTTCAGAGATATACTGCGCAAAATACAGATAGCAGGAGACAGAGGACAGCCATAGTCAGAGCTATCTGGATCAGTCTTATGCGACAATGGAAACTGAACTAAAGAGAACATTTGAAACTTTAGCAGTCTGCGTGATCTGCCTGTAGGGAGGGGCGGGCCGGCCCTGCGAGTAAAGTAACGAGTAAAGTAACGAGTTACTTTATGTAGAGAGTAACGAAGTAGTGTAATATATTACTTTTTTTTAAAGTAATATGTAATATGTAATATATTACTTTTTTTTAGTAACGACCCCATCTCTGCTAAGAGCCCCGGCGCTTTTTACCCCAGGGCACTTAGTACAGATCGCGTTCACACCGGAGTACTTTTCCCTGAGGGAAGATTACGCAAATGAGCCGCTGACGTCACTTCTTCTTCTTCTGCTTTGGCTTTACTGGCAGCCCACAAACCACTTCACGGCGAGTACAGTAGGTGGCGGTATGCACCTTAAAGTTGTTTGCAATCCGCTGCAAAACAAGAGAAGAAGAAGAAAAACTTCCCGCGTATACTGCGACGCCCACCCACTCGCTGTACATTAGGCGTCTGTTGTTTACCTTCCGACCTCAGACATGATGGAGATGGAGTCGACTGAAGTTGTGCTGTTTGTGCTCATGTTATACAGCTTTGTAACTGAGTTAACGCAGCCTGAGCAACTTGCGTACAATAACAAAACAAGCCGAGCACGAGTGGTGGTGGAGAACGCTTTTGGCAGACTGAAGGGCAGGTGGCGGTGCTTGATGAAAAGAAACGACTGCAAGATGGACAAGATCACATTCCAGGTGGCAGCATGTTGCATATTACATAACCTTTGTGAAAGTAATGAGTACAGGGACGAATGGACTGCCTTACCGGCGACCCAGCTTTATGAGGCATCTGAACAGCGTGTAAATTGTAAACATTTTGACAATAAAGCTGATCTTTTGTACAGTGCTTTTGTTTCTCTTTTATTTTCCAGTCAAGACAGGCAACATTACAATAGTGTACAGTGTGGCAATATAATAACAATAAACTGTGCCAGGTGTGTTGTATGCACAGTAAATAGGCTCAGCAGCAAACCCACCGTTATTATTTATCTTCCTGAGACCCACTGCATCCGTCTGCCATAAACATACAAGTTAGTTTCGGCCCATAGTGGACTCCATTTTGTGTTGTGTAAAATGGGGGGGGGGAATTAAAGGTTTGCAAATCCCCATGTCCTCCTCAGAGGACAATCATAAAAACATTTAGTTTTAGGTCAAATAATATTTAAAATTATATAAATTATCATATTTGTGTATGTGCCCCTGCCATTCCTCCACAAGGTTGCAACATTGATGATAAATAAATGACAAATAAAGCTTTGCCAGTTTATAACCGATGAAACATGATGGTATCAGAATAATCACTTACATGTGATGTATAGGATGCTACGGTCACTAAAGATAAAGTGTCAGGAGAAATAAGCAAGCTACAGGATCTGTTTAACAGTAAATAGAAGTTCACATTTTTAATGTAAATAAAATAGAAGTTGTACATGTAAATTAACATTATCAATATAAAATAAAGTGTCAGTTGTATCAAGACTATATAATAACAGTAATAACAATAATATAAAATGAACTGGTGAGCATCTTGTCCTCCGTTTCCTGGGCCTTGGTGAACAGCACCATCTGATCTCCACGCAGCGACTCATTCACCACGGCACGCCGGTCCTCCAACGCCTGGGCGGTGTCAAAGAAATTCGCATCCCGTGTCCGCTTTCCTAAGAGGGGAAATTAAGCAAGATACAAGATCTGTTTAGTCGCCATGTAGTTTTACAACATACTAGGAATGTTTTTTTGGTATTTTCACAAATAGAATTAAGGTTTCACAAATCTGAAACTGTGTTATAAAGAATCTTTTGACTCTCTGGGATAATCCAGTCCAGATTTGATGAGTCTAGGTAAGGTAGTTTTAGATCAGGACCTGGTCTAATGTGGTCTACATGTGAAAAAGCACTGAAATCTCCCTTTTTTGTATTTTTACTAGGGCTGTCAAGTTAACGCGTTAATAACGCGTTAACGCAAAAAAGAATTAACGCCACTAATTATTTTAACGCGATTAACGCATGTGTATTTTTTGTCCTCGGCCGCCCCGTAGTTTCAGAGCGCATCGAGTTTAAAATACCATCTACAAGCTGATGCTTACAGCCCCGCACCTGCCGCCCGCTTGTGGCAGACCACACTTCCACGCTCACCGGCAGGCCCGGACTGGCTATCGGGAGGACCGGGTGTGTGTGTGTGTGTGTGTGTGTGTGTGTGTGTGTGGTGTGTGTGTGTGTGTGTGTGTGTGTGTGTGTGTGTGTGTGTGTGTGTGTGTGTGTGTGTGTGTGTGTGTGTGTGTGTGTGTGTGTGTGTGTGTGTGTGTGTGTGTGTGTGTGTGTGTGTGTGTGTGTGTGTGTGTGTGTGTGTGTGTGTGTGTGTGTGTGGCGCGACTCGCGCGAGCGAGGCACACCTTACGTGTTGTTGTTGTTAGCATCTGGTGCTAGCTCGCTGCGCTAACAGATATAAGGAGCTGTTTCAATGACATTTCGCCGACAACTTGATTGATTGATTGATTGAAAAGTTTATTAACAGCTTGTATATTGGGTACAGTACAGTACAGCTC